AACATGCATACAAATTTCATCTTAGCAATGTAAAATGGACAGGAAGTTGATTTTTCATTACATACCATTGATATGCAAGATAGTACTACATTTACAATCTCGTGACATTGTTTTGGACTTGTAAGTGAGAAATCAATAAGTGATGCATCCATACATATAAATAAAGAGGCTCATGAGTTAAAGAAGCAGAAGATCCACATTATTAAAAGGAATTCCTCAGTGAAGTAAAAACTGATTTAGATACAGAGGAAGCAAAAATGTGAATCCTTACAGAATTTAAGTGTATAAGCTTCCCAAGCTCAGGGGCCAATGTTCCTTCCAAACAAAGCTCTTCAAATCCCTGCAAGTAGAAGTAAAAGAAGACAATATTATATTTATCATTTAACTTTAATCTAAACTCTCAATGTCAAACAATCGCATCAAAAAGAAATTATATTCTCAATGAAAACTCTATAGAGACTTACAGCATTGGCACTTTATCGTTGAGACAATGAACCACTGACCACAGGCAAGGATTGCGGTCATTTTGATTCCAATGGCAAAGGCACCTAAGGATCCCAATTCACCCTTGCCCGGAATCCCAGAGAGCCAATCCTGCATTTGCAACACGTCATTTAGAACAAAAAACAAAACAAAAAACAAACAGACAAACAACTCAACGTTCTACAATTGGTATTGGAGAATTTACCTTCGGATTGAGAGACCAAGACCCTTGAATTTCAATACTCACAATCAAAACCAAGAACCGCAGTAATCGGAATCCAATAGGGGTCCATCTACCCCCCATTTCTTGACGAACCAAATGCAGTAGGATGGTATTCAAAATGCCAGGTTTTTATACAAACAAACCCTTCAAACCAATACAAACAACAAAAATAACAACTATACTCTTTGTTTTCCAAACGCGAAATAAATTTCCTGAGACTACGATGCAAAACCTATATTAATATCACTCGCAAATCAAACCAAAGACTTTGCTTCCGGTGATGATCATGTCAGGGTCTCTCATTCTTTTTTATAAATTGATTTCACCCTTTTGGCTGAAATGTACATACCCTCTTCAAAGATTATCTTCCCCCTATTATCTCTCAACTCAACAACGCAGCTGAAAACACAAGCCAAATAACAAACCAAAAGATTCAGCATTATAAAATAACAAAAAGAAACGAAGAATGAAGAATACCCTCAACAACAAGCAAGCAAAAAAAAAAAAAAAAAAGAGTAAAAAGAATATAATTTACCACAAAGAATGACGAAAAGGGTACAAAAGAATCTCCCTTTGAAGGTGGTGGCGGTGGTGGCAACAATGCAAATAACAAAAACAAACGAAAGGAGAAAATGGGGGTGGTGTGGTGGTGAGTTGATGAGCTGAGACAACAAAGGCAGCAAAGAAAAATTAAAACTTGATAATAATTCTAGCAAATGTCGATATTTTTTTTTTTTTCAATTACTGCCCTTCCAAGGATGATCTCAGAGGATCGTCTCTCTTCGACCATCATTTTTGTCTCTCTCATGGCCTTAGCCCCTTTTTTTTTTTTTTTTTTTTCTTTCTCTCTCAAATTCTTTTCTTAGAATGAATTTTTTTTCCTGTTTTTCTCTCTCTTCAAAACGGCCCCCACCAGCCATCTCCTCTGTTATTATTATTATTGTGAGTTAAGTGGGTCCTCACTATTTCTTTAACTTTTAACTAATAATATTATTATTAATAATTATAAAATAACGGTTTTTACAGTGGGTCCACAGTAACATACTGGGTTCGGCGGGAAGTTAACGAACTAGTTAACCGTCATTAGACGGTGGATGGTAATGCGGGCCCCAGTTCCGCTGTAATCGGACGCGGTTTTTTCAATATTTTCAAGCGTTGACCGGGCCCACAATTTATGCTTTTGTTCGGCGTCCCTCTTGTCTGCCTCCACCCTAAATCCCCCAAAAAATAATTTGCCATTGCCCCACCTTCCACCTTAAAAATAAGGATAATCACGTACACAGCTTTTTCTAGTACTACAACATTTAGACAAATTTTTTTTTTTTTTTAAATGATCAAGATAAAGTTAGTTTGTACACACTTAATAATCATCGAGATCTATAAACACTCACATGTCTAATAGACATATTAGTATCTATTACAATGCGATACGTATCTTACGATATGATTCGATACGAGTAGCCAACGGTAAGTATCACAGAGTGTATCATAAACATTTCAATCGTTGAATGGATATATGATACAATACGTATCCATCGTATTCTAAAAAATATCGATACAAATCGATACGACTTATAAAAAAAAAAAAAGGATTGGATTCGGATCACCCAACCCAGTTCACTAAAACTTGTCCAAATTTACCCATTTTACGTAGAGAAAGGAAGAGGACCATGTGCATGATAATAATCATACAAGTGGAGATATATATATGACATGATCTTGGAAATATACGAATGGTTAAAGGAAATGAATAATTTTGTGATTAATTTGGATTATGTAATACCATAATTTAAATTCAATAATACCACAAAATTTGTTACTTAATCTTAGGGTGATATTAATTTTAGAAATATTTATTATTTTATTATTTTTTGAAAAAGATGTATCCTACGATACAATACGATATGTGATACACAATTCAAAAAATTAGGTTTTCGATTCACGATTGACAACCTAGGTCGAATATTCTAAGGTAACCACAAATATGATAGGTGACATGATTATTAGATCCCATGATAGACGATAAGATTCGTCTGGGTCACCAAGGATATGATCAGAAAACGGTCCTAAATCTTTCATACATTGATATATACCTACGATATGATGATGTATCGGTTCGTATATCTTAAAAATATCGAATAAATCGATACGACCTTTATTATAAAAAAAATTAGGTCGGATCTGGGTCACCCAATTCGGTTCATTATAACCCCTAGATTATCCCATTTTTATGGAGAAAGTGAGAAGAAGATGTGTTGTCTATTTGCATGATAATAATAAAGAAGTATACAATATAGATATGAATTTGATGTTGGAAATAATGTGAATGATTGAGAGGAAATGATATAAATTCTTAATTTTGTAATGTAATTTTTATCATGTATACCATAATTTACAAGCCAATATATCAGAAAAAGTCGTTTAATTACTTGGGGATGATATTAATTTTAGAATTTTGTATTATTTATTTATTATTTTAAAAGCGTATCTTATGATACGATACGCGATACCGATTCGAAAAATTAGGTTTTGAATACGATACGATTGCGATTTGAAAACCTGATAGGTCGGTTCAAAGTGATTGAATTTTAAAATCAATAAGTGAGTAAACTTCTTGATCACTAGACTAAATCCTGAGGGGTTATCTAGAATTTATTACATGTTGAAGTGGAAGCCTGAAACAGGTCGTTTTGAGTAAAGAATGACGACTCATTTTAGCAACTACCCAGATGAATCCTGACCGCATGATACACTCAGATCCAACGGCACGAATCAGTCACTTAGTCAAACGTATATAAACTTAAACTTTTCTCATAACAAACAAAATCATGTTGGGTTTTTCTTTGTGCGATGAGAAGTTAGGGTTCAAGAGTTTCGGACTGTATTTGTGTTCAGGTTAGAGGGGTATGGGTCTTAATCATCTGGTGAGAGTGTTGGCTCTCGAGTTAGGGCATTCGTCACAGGGTCGAGCTCTTGGGGCTGATTACAGGATATTTGTATATGTGTAAGGGTTCTATGTTGATGGGCTTGAGGTATTGTAATGTGAGTTCTTGGCAGGTAATAATAAGTGCATGAGCTCATACATTTCCTAGTTCAACGTGGATGGAGCTTATCCTAAAAGGATAAGTGACACGATAATCTCTGGTTCTGTGGGTTGAATGGTGTGATTTAGAATCTGTGGATAGTGCGTAATGCTAACATACACAATTATATATTTTCTGAAAAAGCAGGTGAATGGAATAATAAAATGTAGTTAGCTTGATAATTATGGAAAAGGATCCTAAAGGGAAAAAGTTGTCGGTCGTGGGAGCCAACATCACCTTGTTATTCCAACAAGTTTCCTTCCTTTAGAATCCAGCAATCATTTCAGACGGCACGTTTTCTTGTAATTATGTGTCTAATCTTAATGTGCAAAATCGTCATATCGATTATTCTAATTTGAAAGGTTAAATTGTGCGGTCTCTATCCGTTAACTACGCCCTTTTTAATAAAAGAATAAACTAAATTTGAAATTTAAAAACAAAATAACAATTATCTAACTAAATTAAGTTGATTATGCAATTCAAGTTTAAATTATAATTTGAGATTTGAATTGCAAATAATTGGATTGAATTTGATAATAATATCAGAGACCCCCCATAACAAAACAGGACATGGTAGCCACAAACCATGAAGATACATTCCCTTCAATCACACATATTAACAATTTAAAAACTAAGTTAAATTATAGGAGTATGATCTTATTTGGATATACAACTTAGTAAAGCAAATCATATATATTATTTTAAATCTTTTATCTTCTCTCAGCTAATTCTTATAAATACACCAAAGAGTGTTTGGATAATATAATATTTATTATGGATATGTGATTTAACGAAAAATATGTACCTTGAAGATTTGAAGCATGAACAGCTTAGACAAGCTCCACGTCGTAGCCATGATTTTCTCTGCTGTTGCCACGTTTCAAAACACCCTGAACTCAGAACACCAGGTGGTGGGGCGCATGCATGACTCTTCACCACAGTCAAAGGTTCAACCCTTAAATAACCTCCTTTATGTAATTCATCATCCCCCTTTTTTTCTCGATTTTGCAAAGCGTCACTTAACGCTTGACATTCACTAGTAGCTCATTGCTGCGCGTAAGCCATGCACAAGCCTCCCCTATTCTAACCATCACCGTGGCTTTAACTCCTTCTTCCATCTGTTTCTTTCATCACCCGCCCCCCTCTTTCACTTCTATAAATGCTTCCCATTTCATGTTTACATGCCAAGAAAATTTAACTTATCAAACAATATGAAAAGCCAAGTTGAAGAGAGGTTCACTGAGTTCTTCGAGAAGTGGGTTTGTCAACTTGATGAACACCTTCAACAACTCATTAAGGTTTCAAAGGAGACTACTTCAAATGAAGCTGATCAACAAGCGTTGGTGTCTAAAGTGACGACCCATTTAAAAGAATACTACACTGTCAAATGGGCTCTAGCTCATGAAGACGTGCTTGTGTTTTATTGTCCGGGTTGGATAAGCACATTTGAGAATGCTTATTCATGGGTCACTGGGTGGAAACCGTCGATGATTTTTAAACTGGTTGAGTCTATGAGGAAGGCTCGAATCCCTGGAGCGAGTCTTTCAGAGTTGACGGAGCAACAGCTGAAGAAGATAGAGGAGTTGAGAGTGAAGATAAGGTTAGAGGAGGAGAAGGTTGAGAGAGACATGGAGAGGCAACAAGTTTCCATGGGGGATAGAAGAATGGTGGAATTATCTCGGTTGGCTAGCCGAGCTGGAAATGGCGACACAACGGTTCAGGTGGACGGGCTTGTGGAGGTGGCATTGAAAGGATTAAAGTGCGGACTGGAAAAGGTTATGAAAGGTGCAGACTGTGTTAGGCTCAAGACAATGAAAGGCGTTCTGGACATCTTGAACTCGAAGCAATGTGTCGACTTCTTGGCTGGCACTTGCATGCTTCACATTCAGCTACGGCTATGGGGCATGAAAAGGGACGGGAAAGGTGGTTTAGAATTATAAACAAGGCATAGTGTTTGAATTGTAGAAACAGTAGAATCAATGTGGTTTTTAATTAGAATGAGCGTAGTGATCATAGTGTTTGTTAAGTTTGTTTGTGCCTGTGGTTTCTTTAATTTGATAGTGTGTTTCTGCAGAAAGTTCTAGAGAATACTTCATTGAGAAACACAAAAAGTTGGAAATCTTTCTTCAAAACTAATTAATGCATAACCAATCTCCAGTTATATGCAAATCTTAATTACTTCCTCTATTCTTGAACTATAAATAGTTAATGAGAGATTATAAAATATTTTAACTTTATTAAATCGAATCAAACATTTCTCGGAAATTTCTGAATCTCTTTTCCATATCTTTGTAGAATAAAAACGAGGATATTTTCCAGATCCAAAGAAAGCAAAAAATAGGTGTAAATTCAATATATTTATTAGATTTAAATATCAAAATAAATAAAATGAAGATAATTGATATCAAATTAATACTAAAGTTTAAATTAAATTAGATTAGTCAAAATAATGGATCATATTTGTCATGACGTAACTAGAATGAATTCTGTTGCATGAAAATACTTAAATAGAAAACAAATCGAAAGATAATATCTCTGAATTAGTTGCTCCTTCGCTCTTCTGTTGCAAATAAACGGGCTACTAAAAAACAAAAAACTTATTGTTGTGCCGTAAATCCACATTGCATGGATTCATGTCTGAAGATATGCTGTCACCGAGGTCATCTGCCACTCCCTCACAAGCCTACTTCATTTATAAGCCTATCAAGGGTTACTTTATATGTAAGTCTATCCTAAGTCGCATGTTATCCTTTGATAGGATTACTTCATCAGTAAGTCTGTTATCCTTTGATAAGATTACTTCATCAGTAAGTCTTTCAATGTAATAGTATAAATACTGATCTCTCACCCAAATTTTGGGATCTTGTTAAAATCGACTATATATGTTAAAGATTAATGAACTCGCTTGTAATTAAAAAACAAAAAAGAAAAACAATAAGATAAAAATAAAAATAGAATTCAAATATTAAATCTAAACCACTTAAAAAATTATATGTTCTTTATATTTATTTATTAATTTAGCAATAATCAAATATTAAATAACACAAGTTTACGACAAACCATTGCATACAAACCAAATTAAAAATTCTTTGTTCTTTGTATTTGTTTATTATTTTTGCATTAACTCAATATTAAAACACAGATTTATGACAAACCTTGCATAGATTTCATCAAGCGACTTGCCGTTGATATGAAAAACTGTATCAACACTTACTATATGTTATTATTATTATTATTATTTTTCATTTTTGTTGTAAAATGCACTTTGTTTCGTTTTCTAGTGGTTTTAACATGAATTTCAACAAATACTAATTAATTTTAAATTTATTATAAGATAGTATTTATTATGGAGACTTCTACAAAAGGACAAATGTCGCAATTTCACTTGCCAAAGATTTGCATCATCGAAGGAACTCGTGTGGGTTAGGTATGGGTTGCCCAAGCGTATTGGTCGCCCAAATATATTTCCTTTTCTCTCAAGTCTCAATTCTAGACTTGGGCATTTGAGACCAGTCCCAAAAAATCAATCCTACGAGGCATGGTCTCAAACCCGGACCAAACCCATGAAGGAAGGATCAGTCCCTAGATCGGGCCCTCCTCTAATGGGACTGGTCCTGCTCGGGCCTAAGACCAGTCCTAGGCTGGGGCCCAAACCCCTTTGCACTTTTTCCAAAAAGTCATTTAGAAAATACCCAAAACCCCCTTATAATTTTAAATTTACCAAAATATTGAGGGTTAAACTAATATTTTACAAAATTTACTAATCTTCTAGGGTAAAAAAAAATTTCTAGGCCCCTAAAAATTATTTAGCTCCTTAATATTAAAAAAAAGTTGGAGGGGTAGAAAGAAATTTTTTAGGCCCATAGGACCGATCTTAGGACCAATTGAAAGGGTGGAAAGAAATTTTTCAGATCCATAGGATCGATCCTAGGACCACTCCTATATAATGATGTTTCTTTCAAAAAAATGCAAGGTACCGGCTGGAACCGATCACTCCTATGTGTGCGTGTTTGGAGCTAGTTAATGATGTGAATATTTTGATTTAGTGTATTGAGATATGGGGAAGAAGGTTGCTCACGGCGATGAGGAAGGTAGTGATTGAATTTAAGACATCTAAATTTTATTTTGTTAGTTCGTATTAACTGGTAATATGTCTATTTTTTTTATTATTATAATAAGATTTGTAAAGGTAAAAAGGGTATTCTGATGGTCATAATTGGTCAATGAAAAATTCATTTGGACGGATAATTGGGTGGAACCGTGATAGGTTTTGAAACCAGGGATATCAACGTCAGTTCACCAAACATAGGGTGGAAAAATGTAATTCTCACTTTAACCTATAAAACTATCACTTATGTTGCATTTGGGAAGCATGATTGGATTGTATTATAATTAATTTTTAGGATAGGATTGGATTATAATCGCACTATATTGTGTTTAATGAAGTGTGGACTGGATAAGAATATTTATATTTAAAAAAAATTAAAAACTTTTAAAATTAATTTAACATTTATTTTTAAATTATTAAATACTTCTAATATTTTAAAAATTAATAAATGATTAAATAAATTAGATAATGAGTAATAATTATACTGTATATAGTAAGCGAAAAATATATTACTCGATTAGAAATGTCACTATGAATAAAAACAAAAATTTACTTAATAACATTATTTTAATTTCAATAACAATTATCTTGAAATATTTATTTTAATAACTATGATCTTTTCACCGTAATGGGTCAGGATTCATTAACTTTATTTTTTGACATTCCTAGTAAACTGTTTATATTTAGTACAGCGATGAAGAGAGATTTTGAGTTGGTATTTAATTTAACTACCTTAAACTTTTATATTATCAATATTAGATCAACAAAGATTAACAACTCACAAAAAGTGTAAAAAATTAACTCACATTTTCTCAACCCTCACATAAATAATTAATTGAAATAAACTTGAATCATAAATATATTAATTATCAACGCATTAATTTTAGTTTGTGTTTTTGATATTTTAATTAATTGATTTTATAGTATGAATAAAAATATTCATTATAATTCAATATAGTGTAATACTTTTGAAGTTCAATCATAAATTTAATGAAGAATTGGCTAATCACATAATTTATAATTTTAAAATATTGTTATAATGATACTATTGTTTAAATATATAAATTAGTTAATATATAGTAATATAGATTATATATAAAATATTTACTACATCTATAAAAAATGATAGTTGTAATATCAATTTAAAATTATTATTAATCAAATAGAAATAATTAATATATAAAAGAAGAAGAAACCAAGTTAATCCCAACATGGGACAAGAAATTATCCCAAGTCCAATCCCGATCTCCTATATGGGCATATGGCGGTCCAAACATGGGTTTTGGACACGTTTTATAAAAACCAATCCTATCCCATGCATAATCCCGGTCTCCAAACACTCCCTTAATGGGTAGATGTTTCCAGATGAAATGATCTGTGCTTAAACATTAGAGTGGAGGGCTGGAGGCTAGATAGTCAAAAGCGGTCGGGATAATAACAATTTCATCATTGAGGTTCAGCTTAAATGCTTTTAGTCCAGCAAAAATGTTTTAGTAACATTTGATATTTGTCAGTGATATTTGAGTCCTCGTCATATGCAAATATAAGGAACTAAAATGTTATTGACTAGGGGTAAAATCAAGTTGAGTATCTGGCTACTCGAATTCGACTCGATTACTAGAATTCGACTCAATTACTACAATATTGAATTCGAGTTTGAATTTGAGCTTGACTAAACCTAAAGAATCGAGTTCGAACTTGAATTTGGTATTTGAAATTGGAATTAGAGTTCGAATTCGAATTCAAACTCGTATGATCAAGTTTTAATCGAGCTTTTTGAGACTTTCAAGCTTAATTGAGTTTTACGAGTCGAGTTGTACTGTGATTGAACTCGACTCAAATCAATATTCGAGCTTGAGTGGCTAGCAAGCGGCTTGGCTCGCTTTTCGCCCCTATTACTGACAAGAACCAAAAGTTACTAAAAAAATATATTGGACTAAAGATAATTAAGCCAAAGCTCATGGACAAAATTTAATTTTCCCAAAGGTGGTGGTAGTAAAGATCAAACCCGGCGCGGTAGGTTTATAATTAAACAAAATTTAGGAAAAAAAAAAAAAAAACCTATAATATCGACAAATTAATATTTGAACTAGGACTTGGATCCCAGTGCTAAGTCAGTTCTTTACATCACACAAACGTATCACAAGATACATATGTCTAGTATAAACAGGGAACACAACCCAATTTAAAGAAAATTATAGCACACTTAATGTAATGGAAAGCTAAACAGAAATGGTGGGAAAAAATGGAATAAGAATGAATCAATCATGGGACATTATATATTATATTTTATGTATAGATGAAATCATGGAGAGCAAAAAAGATTAAGAAACAAGAATTGGCAGCATATAGTTGTGTTGGTGGAATTACGGAGCAAAAAACTACTCTTTGCATTTAGACTCAAAAGTAATAGGAGACTTGACTTACAACACAAAGAAGAGAGTCAGACAGGAACTTAAGTTGCCTCTGCAGATAGGATCTCAAGTTCTGCCCACCAGAGGGGAGAAAGTCTTGGGGTGGCTTGATCAGGCGAGATACTGATCCCTTCCCTCAATTTGGCAACTATATCCTTCATCGTTGGTCTATGCCGAGGATTTGGTTGGATGCACTCGTTGATAACATCGCAGATGACATCAAGTTCATTGTCTTTGAATGAGTTGAGGCTCGGATCAACCATGTCGCTGATGCTTTCCTTGTAGTCCAAATATTCAGCAGCCTGGAAACTTTAAATGTCAATCAAATTATTCAAAAATAAAAAGGAAATAGAACTCCACCTTGGTTTTGCTCTAATGGAACTTACCCATTGCTCTATGGGCCCATGTTCATCTGAGTATGGGAGCCTTCCAGAAATGAGTTCAAGCAATAATATGCCAAAACTGTATATATTAGTTTCTGGATCAGCCAGAGGAGGCAATTCAGATTTCCCTATACTCATTTCACTTGAGACCTTTGACTGGAGTACAGATTGTGAAGAAAAACTTGTCTCTGCTACCTGTGAAAGCAAGAGCAATAGGAAGACGTCACATAAATCATAATGGTCAAAGTGTGAAGAAGTTGCTCAAATTGTGAGATGAAGTGATGTACCTTAGCAGCATAATCGTCTGTCAAAAAGATACAACTTGAAGTTAAGTTGGTATGTGCTACCGGTGGATCCAGATCATGGTGCATGTATTGAAGACAATAAGCTGTTCCCATAATAATCCTCATTCTTGCATTCCAGTCAAGATGTTCCATGTCTTCGACTGAAAAAGTGAGAGAGAGAAATTTTATTAGCCTCTCAATATTAAGCTTCCAACTCAGATCTCGAGCAGAAAAGATGCATCTAAAATAAGAATTACCGTGTAGATGCTCAAAGACAGTCCCATTTGGAGCATATTCAAACACCATCATCCTATTGAAAGGTTCATCCTCCTCACAGCGGCCAATGAGATTGACAAAGTTCTTATGGTTAATTCGTGACAATTTATCTATCTGCAGTAGTAAAACATAAACAGTCAAAATAAAAAAGGACTGGAGCAAGAATTAGAAGTATACAATGTGTTGAACAATTCCACTGGTCTTAAAAATGTTAATCATATCCAGTAATCACAGAAACATTGAACCTGTTTCCGGTAAACCATCTCTGAGCTCTTTGGCCAGTCTTTGGAAGAAGTAATTGTGGTTGATGCAACAGCTATCTCAACTCCACTGGATAGCGTTCCCTTGTACATAATGCAACCGTCAATGGTATCAATGATATTGCTGAAATCTTCACAAGCTGTATCCAGTTCTGATCGATTCAGCTTGGGAACCCCTGCATTTTATACAGCACAATTTAGTTCTCCATATATCACACAAAACAATTACAGGGAATTGCAAGGTTTCAATACTGGCACAGACATTAATAAGACAGAAGCCATCTCATATAAAGTACGTTTTTAGGACCATGTCTATCTAAAAATTTGTCCAGGACACTTGTGGACTCAATAGTCAATAGTCATGTCAACCCATATTCAATCCTCTTTACAGTGTTATAGTAATTTGACCCTATTTACCTGAATTTTGCTGAATAATGGATGCTATATATTTTCCTAAAGAATCTTAGAGATTTATATGATGTCCAAGATTCATTATATAACAATCTTCCTTCATTTACCTGCAAAAACTATAGAATAAAGAGGGTGCTACATATTTTCCTCAAAAAAATTCAGATTTATTTCATTTTTATGATTCCTTTTCATTGCCTACAATGTTTATTCAACAAGCCAAAAAGCAGTTATATTTTCGACATCTTAAATTTACGGATACACACCCCTATAGCCATGTGATTATTTCTACTTTTAGGAGATTCTAGGTCCAACTCTCATTATGTTGTACAGAAAACTCATGATGTCCTTTTCCTCATGGCCAGATTGTGCATTGCCCAGAACTCGAAGCCCAAATTCTGTACTCTATTACTACATTCTGTACTCTATACTAGTAAGAAAGTGGAAAGCCATCACTATACAAAATAAAAAGTATTCTTTCAAAATGCTACTTCATGATCTGGAGTTATTTGTTAGTGTGCTTGACGTGCAACAACGAAATGGAAATGCTAGAGTTGATTTATCATCTCAACTAAATAGGTCAGCCTAGGAAAACAAACACTAAAATTTAGCAAATCTCAAACTGACATGTAACAAGCAATTTTAGGTGTCCAACACATTAAAAGGTAAATAAAGTTTAATTACAAATCAGAAAATCACCTGTAATAAAAGCTTTCTGCAACTGTCCACTTAGTCCAGTCTTCCACGGACCAATGGTTCTCACCGCTCGGGTTCGGCACATGAAGACCATGGCAGCAGCAAATATGAATAAAGCTGCTCCACTAGGAACAATATAAACATACCTCCATATGCTCCCACTGGCATCTGAAGACAGAGACGGAGGACTCGGGGAAGGCTGGTTAATTGTAATGTCACTCCTTGGAGATTTTGAACCAGCGTCATCCAAAGGCTGCAGTGTAGGTGCAGGTGAAGGATAATGTTTCTTTTTGGCATTTGGTATAGCAGGGAAAGTTCCACTACTTCGGGCAGTTGGAAGAGCAATGATGTGGTCGGAGGAAGGCTCACCGGTGGCAGGTGCAGCAGGGAGGTTACTGGACTGTTCATGTAGCCTACGACGTGCAACATTGACAAGATTCTGCATATACCGAACCATATGTGTCTCAGATGAACCTGCTTCATACAAAAGACAACATCAATAATTATCACAAGCATAAATATTCATGTGCAATACCCAAGAATAGTTACAACTATCTCTACTCACCAGGCTGGTAAGTGCAGCAATGGTCTGCATAAGTACCCAGAGAGTCTTTTCCAAGCTTCAACCTTGTAAGAATGGTGAACAGTTTCAACAAAGAGAAGATGAAAAAAAAGTAGAAATATATCAAAAAAAGTAATAATAAAGAAATATTTCTATTCCGTACACTGGCAGTGGCAAGATATTGAGATAACGAGTGAGAACTCCCTTAATTGGGCTAAGAAATGATTCTGCCTTATTCAGTTGCTTGAAACTGCTATGCCAAATGCTGTTCAAGACATTTAAAAATCAGAAAACTAGGTATCTACAACTATAAATATAATTTTTAAGTAGCAAAGGAGATAAAAAAGAATGCTCTGATCTGGGAAAAAAAAATTATAAGGGTAAGCTCAGTTAAATATATAATGCTTATCAACAGCCAACGGATGCTGGCTTTTGTAGAGCCATCATATTGCATAGTTGATGATCAATTACCTGATGCTACATAGAATTCTAAGTAACTTATACTTCACATGGGTTAAAGAGATCTTATAGACTAAATCCAAAAAAAAAAAAAAAAGAAAAAAAAAAAATATGATTGGAGCATAACAGGGCTCAAATAAACAAACTTCTTTACAAGCTCACATGCCAATTGAGAATTAGACATAATCAATTCATCAGACATTATTTAATTGTTTAATTAGACTCTTCTTGGCTATAAGCTACAAGTCCAACAATTATTTGAACCAGCTCATATGTCACTTGAGCAGGCACAGTTACTGGAATTATCAGAGGATCATTCACAAGCTACATTATCATAAATTTCTTTATGTACAAATAAAGACCTAAGCACCAGGAACTTAAAGAACGTTTGCTGGTCAAAGGACAAAATAAAGGGGTTACTGGTAGAGTCACGGTAGATCTTCTAAGATGAGTAAATGTCTTACCAGTGTCCAAACTTCCTATTTATGCAGTCAATTCCAGCAAAAACAGAAGATAAAAGGTTTTCATCACATTGCAGTTTAGAGAGTACGTTCAGCCTTGTGAGCTCCAGAGGAATGCTGCCTTCAAAGTTATTATTGCAAAGCAACCTATGTGAAAAATGAGTTAGTTGAGGTACCCATAAGGCCTAAAGCATCATATACATATTAAACGTAAAACAATAAACTCACATGCGTTTTAGTGACAGCATCCCACCTACTTCTACTGGAATTGTTCCACTCAACTTATTGTTCCTCAAATCCAAAAGCTCCAGCTTTGTAAGCTCTCCAAACTCTTTAGGAATGGCACCAGAGAAACGGTTTTTCTGGAGAATACTGTTAATGCAAACGGAGAGAGCAAGAACAAGAAAATTTAATCACCTTCAGAGAGCACTGCAAACATTACCAAATATTGAGCTAAATATTAAGACGCTAGATACACTGTCTATCATTTAAGAAAATCCTTATCAGATCATAACCTATAAGCAGAGGCATATCAGTTTAAAGATTTTCTTAATTCCAGAGCATCATGAAACTAGGTAATAATTATGCACCCTTCAACACACTTAATGAAATGTGATCATGGAGTTGTAAATTATGATTATCATAAAATAAAGTCATCTCTAAACTAATTTAGGTTAGCAATATTTGTATTCCTTCTCTAGTCAAACTGTAAGTTTTGATATGTATTTACAGACTGATAAAAGTTTGAAGAGTTAACTGTTCTTTTTCTTTAACTTGTCCTTCTCTTGTTGGCAAATGACTTTTCCATGTTCTCCTTGCATTCTATCTTATTGTCGTTCCAACATGCATACAAATTTCATCTTAGCAATGTAAAATGGAATCAGGAAGTTGATTTTTCATTACATTACCATTGATATGCAGAGATAGTACTACATTTACAATCTCGTGACATTGTTTTGGAACTTGTAAGTGAGAAATCAAATAAGTGATGCATCCATACTCATATAAATTAAAGAGGCTCATGAGTTAAAGAAGCAGAAGATCCACATTATTAAAAGGAATTCCTCAGTGAAAGTAAAAACTGATTTTAGATACAGAGGAAGCAAAAATGTGAATCCTTACAGAATTTTTAAGTGTATAAGCATCCCAAGCTCAGGGGCCAATGTTCCTTCCAAACAAAGCTCTTTCAAATCCCTGCAAGTAGAAGTAAAAAGAAGACAATAGTATAATTTATCATTTAACTTGTACTACATAAATCTCCAAAATCGAAACTACTCAATGTCAAACAATCGCATCAAAAAGAAATTATATTCTCAATGAAAACTCTATAGCTGAGCATTTATTAATGGGGAAATTTAGAGGAAAGAAACTTACAGCATTGTCACTTTATCGTTGAGACAATGAACACCTGACCACAGGCAAGGATTGCGGTCATTTTGATTCCAATTGGCAAAGGCACCATAAGGATCCCAATTCACCCTTGCCCGGAATTCCCAGAGAGCCAATCCTGCATTTGCACACGTCATTTAGAACAAAAACAAAACAAAACAAACAGACAAACAACATCAACGTTCTACAATTGGTATTGGAGAATTTACCTTCGGCATTGAGAGACCAAGACCCTTGAATTTCAATACTCACAATCAAAACCAAGAACCGCAGTAATCGGAATCCAATAGGGGTCCATCTACCCCCCATTTCTTGACGAACCAAATGCAGCAGTGGATGGTATTCAAAATCGCCAGGTTTTTATACACAAAACAACCCCTTCAAACCAATACAAACAACAAAAATAACAACTATACTTCCTTTGTTTTCCAAAAGCGAAATAAATTTCCTGACTACGATGCAAAACCTATATTAATAACACTCGCAAATTCAAACCCAAAGACTTTGCTTCCGGTGATGATCATGTCAGGGTCTCTCATTCTTTTTAATTAAATTGATTTCACCCTTTTGGCTGAAATGTACAACCCTCTTCAAAGATTATTCTTCTCCTATTTCTCTCAACTCAAAAACGGCAGCTGAAAACATCCAAGAATAACAAACAAAAGATTCAGCATTATAAAATAACAAAAAGAAACGAAGAATGAAGAATACCCTCAACAACAAGCAAGCAAAAAAAAAAAAAAAAAAGAGTAAAAAGAATATAATTTACCACAAAGAATGACGAAAAGGGTACAAAAGAATCTCCCTTTTGAAGGTGGTGGCGGTGGTGGCAACAATGCAAATAACAAAACAAACGAAAGGAGAAAATGGGGGTGGTGGTGGTGGTGAGTTGATGAGCTGAGACACAAAGGCAGCAAAGAAAAATTAAAACTTGATAATAATTCTAGCAAATGTCGATATATATTTTTTTTTTTTTCTTTTCAATTACTGCCCTTTCCAAGGATGATCTCAGAGGATCGTCCTCTCTTCGACCATCATTTTTGTCTCTCTCATGGCCTTAGCCCCTTTTTTTTTTTTTTTTTTTCTTTCTCTCTCAAATTTTCTTTTCTTTAGAATTGAATTTTTTTTCCTGTTTTTCTCTCTCTTCAAAACGGCCCCCACCAGCCATCTCCTCTGTTATTATTATTATTGTGAGTTAAGTGGGTCCTCACTATTTTCTTTAAACTTTTAACTAATTAATATTATTATTACTTATAATAAATAATTATAAAATAACGGTTTTTACAGTGGGTCCCACAGTAACATACTGGGTTCGGCGGGAAAGTTAACGAACTAGTAAACCGTCATTAGACGGTGGATGGTAATGCGGGCCCCCAGTTCCGCTGTAATCGGACGCGGTTTTTTCAATTAATTTTCAAGCGTTGACCGGGCCCACAATTTTATGCTTTGTTCGTGCGTCCCTCTTTGTCTTGCCTCCACGCCTAAATCCGCCAAAAATATAATTTGCCATCTCATCACTTTCACCTTATAACACATCTTTTTCTTAGTACTACAACACTTAGAATTTTTTTTTTTTTTTTTTAATGATCAAGATATACAAGTTAGTTTGTACGTACTTCAATTAATCTTTGAATTCTATTAAATACTTTATATGTCTAATATTCTAAGGTAAACCATAAATACGATATATGACATGATTATTAGTATCCTATGATACGCGATACATATCTTACGATACGATTCGATACAGGTCGCCAACGATATGTATTAGAGAGCATATCATAAAAATTTCGTTATATTGATATGTATCATACGATATAATATGTATCAGTTCGTATTCTTAAAAATATCGATATAAATCAATACGATTTTATTAATTTGTGCCGAAGGCCAAAAAATTTTTTTGGGTCGGATTTGGGTCATCCAACCCGGTTCACTAAAACTTGTCGAAATTTACCTATTTTGTAGAGAGAAAGTGAAGAGAAAGATATGTTGTCCATTTTGCATGATAATAATAATAGAAGTAGAAATATAGATATTGACATTGATTTTAAAAATGATGTGAATTGTTGAGAGGAAATGATATAGATTCTTAATTTTGTGATTAATTTTGATTATGTAATACCATAATTTAAAGCCAATAATATCAGAAAATTCGTTAATTAATCTTCGGAATGATATTAATTTTTAGAAAAAATTTATTATTTTATTATTGTTTTTTTAAAAAGCGTATCCTATGATACGATACGTGATACACAATTTGAAAAATTAGATTTTTGATACACGATATGCTACGCAATTTGACAACCATGATAGGTAGTTTTAAAGTAATTTGAATTTAAAAAGTCAATAAAGTGAGTAAACCTTCTTGATCACTGACTAACTATTGGGGCGTATCTAAAATTTTATTACACAATTATATATTTTTCTTAGAAAAGCAGTTGAATGTAATAATAAAATGTGGTTAGCTTGATAATTAGGAAAGGGATCCTAAAGGGGAACATAAGTTGTCGGTTCGTGGGAGCCAACATCACCTTATTATTCCAACAAGTTCCGTTTCCTTCAGAATCCAGCAATCATTTCAAACGGCATCGTTTTCTTGTAATTATGTGTCTAATCTTAATGTCAAAATACTTCATATCCGATTATTCTAATTTTGAAAGGTTAAATTGTGCGGTTTCTATCCGTTAACTTACTACCCTTTTTAAAAAAAGAATAAACTAAATTTGAAATTTAAAAACAAAATAACAATTATCTAACTAAATTAAGTTGATTTATGCAATTCAAGTTTAAATTATAATTTGAGATTTGAATTGCAAAATTAATTGGATTGATTTGATTAATAAATATCAGAGACTCCCCACCTAACAAAACAGGACATGGTAGCCACAAACCATGCAAGATACATTCCATTCAATTCACACAATATTAACAATTAAATAATGTTAATTATATGGATTATGATCTTATATTGGATATACAACTTATTAAAGCAAATCATATATATTATTTTAAATCATTTTATCTTCTCTCAGCTAATCTTATAAATACCCAAAGAGGTGTTTGGATCATATAATATTTTATTATAGGATATGTTATATTAACGGAAAAATATGTCACCTTGAAGATTATTGAAAATGTTTAGAAAATATGTTTAATTGGTTCGAATAAATTGGTGAATAATATGTTTGATTGGGAAGATAAATGAGTAGTTATGTTATATAGATCCTAGTTAGTAAATAAGGGTACGACAAAAAAATGGTATAGAAATTATACGAGTATGATATGATAAATGGTGAAAAATACATTTATAAAAATTCGGCCATAAAATTCGGATATGGGAAAAATACGATATATATATATATACGGGTTTAATATGGTATATTATCAATAATACGTTTTGAAAAATATAGCAATATGAATAATAATTTTAGCATTTGTTAAAATCAATATAACATTTTAAATGAAATCGCTGATTTAAAGAACGGCAACATTAGAACAACTGAAATTTCAAATTTTCATCAGGTCCACCAATTTTCACACCCAACGAAATGAATTAGTCTAGAAAGCTATGAAGCTAATACCATCAAATTAAAACTGTAATAATTAAAGAAACCACAGGAAATCAACCACCATGTATGTAATATTAATTCCAGATTTTAGATTTAAAAAACAAAAACAATAAAAAAAGAGGGTCATAAAGTGAATGAATAAACCCCATATTAGCATATACACCAGAACTTCACTAAAGAACACTTATGAATTCAGGATCCATGAAATTAACACAAAGAGGAATCATAATTTCATGCCCAATTAATCTATTAATGCAAAGTTTTTAACATAAATGAAAAGACCAATATTATGTCAGAAGGAGCAAACTGAGGCTGAATTTTAACAAGGCTCAGCAACAAAACATTTAAACAACTTAATCAAAACCAAACAAAGTCACTCACATCACTAGTTCCAAATCTCACAAAAACAATAACAATTAGAAGAAACCTGGCCACACACTTGTCATCAAAGGGCGAATTTTTGTGTTTCATTTTCAGGTGAAGGAAGACAAAGTATTGCCAAAGTGATATGTGTAAAAAATTATTGGCAGTGCGGTGGGGAAACATGTGTCCTGAATTTGGTGGATGAAAAATTAAATACTTCAAAAGGGTGTGAATGGATTTCGAATACCAATCATTGTTCCATAAACATATATAATTTCAAACTTACTGACCTTGTCTATGCGTGCAAAGTCAGCTTAAATACAAATATAACTCTCACGAGCATTTTATCAAATATCTTTCAAATAAATCCATAAATTCACTAACATAACAAATCCAACAATCCACCAGCCCTTACTACTATTACTCATACACTAGCGCAAACACAAGTAAATCATTAACATACGAGATTCAAAGAGAGTTAAAAAAAGAAAACAAGAAGAGATCAAGACTCAAGAGATAAAGAAAAGAGAGTTAAAGAGAGCAATCCATTGATATTTGATAGTTGAACTATTGAAGATTTGAAGAAGAAACGAAGATGTCGAGCTATCGAAGAGAGAATTGGTGAAGAGGAGAACGAGATTTCGTTTAATTTTAGTCAAACCTCACCCAAAATGACGTTGTTTTGCCTTATCATTTAAAGATTTTTTTGCCTGCAAAAATTCGTGAATTATACCGATGGGGCATATAATTCGCGAATTATTGGCAGCCCTGATAAAATACATGAATTTGTATTTTACACGCGAATTTATTAACTAGGATATAGATTACTAAATTATTCTCTTTTTTAAATATTAATATAATATTATTTATTATATTATTTTTTGAATCATTTCTTTTAACCTCCTACGTTTGAATTTTTGCTAAAACACCTCAGTCATATAAAACTTTAATTTGTAGCAAAATCATCTCCACCCATCTCAAGCCACTACCGGTGGTCGACAGAATGGTGCAAGACTAATCGTATATGGTCGATCGTGCGCCGGCAAAGCCATTCCCTGCCATCATCACAAATTCATGGCCGTTTTACGGCCAGATCTATGACCATTTCACGACCAGAAACGGCCAAAGATCTGTGGCCATTTCATGACCATATCTTTGATTGTAAAACGGCCAGATCTGGCCAGAAAATGCCTTATCTGCTCACGATTGACCAAATCCCACTAGTCGTGCACCATTACGGTGACTAACACTGGCAGCTGGCGGTGGTCTTGGGTGGCTGGGGGTATTTTATTAACTTTTTAACTTTTTTGTGACTGGGGTGTTTTAGCTAATTTCTCAAATATAAGAGGGTTGGATAATTATTATTTGGTAGACATTTAAGAGCAATTGTGTCCAAAATGGTATTTAATTAAGGGAAAAATAGGTATAAAAATCAGATTACCCGATAATCTTTAATCCCACCCTTGGGGGAGGATATCGGATTACCCTTTACATTACTAACAATAAACACTATTTAAAATAAAATATGTTCGTAATATTTTATTACTTGCAAACCAAACACCAGAATCTTGCAAAATAAATGAAGATTGCCCCCGTTATCTTATATGCCCCCGATCCAAACGCACCCAAAATGTTTTTTGTTCTACGCTCAACCAATTTTTCATGGCTTTAAAAAAATTAATAAATTCACTACTCCTAAAAGTGTTAATTGTTGCCACTGTTTAAAATGTTAAATAATAAACATACCAAAATTATAATAATAAAAAACTTTAAAAATAGCTTTTGTAATTCCATGTGAAAGAACTAAAGAGCGTTTGGCATCAAAGAAACAAATAATCACACACAAATATCGAACTATTAAAGAGAAAGAAAACATGCGCAATTTATCTTGATTCCTAAATCCGAGACCCCTATGTACGTCGTGCAAACTAACTGTGACCCTAAAGTGCGACCTTTATTGTTGAAGTGGTTGACAACTCCAACACCATGCAACCAAAATTATATGTTAACTTGCATTATAGGTGATGTTATATCTTATACTATTCTAATATTTTTTATATTCTAAAACTTTTTTACTGGATGTACATCAAATAGTTTTTTTTTTTTTTGGTAATTCACATGTAAGAAAATAAATTAATTATAAAAAAGATGAGTTCACACTTCACACTAATAACATATGGGAAATGAATTTAGTTTAAACATTTGGGCTAACTTAAACGGGCTAGGTCCAGTTATAAAATGTAATCAGACTGATCAAGAAGAAGGTTGAAGCTCAAATTCAAGAAGTCCAACAACGGTATAAACCCCCAAGGAAGAAAAGAAAGTGTAAAGATATGACGTGGCATCCAGAGAGAAAGAGCAAATTACACTCACCAATTTACTAACTATCTTATTAACGCATGTAAATATGAAATATAATACGGATACTATAAGCATAATATGAGTATCATATGTATTTTAAATAAAGATGAATAAGACAGTTAATAAGTTTGTGAGTAAACATATTGTTATTGAAGAGCAAAAATATACTTATAGAATAAATAAACAAATATATTTCCTGACTCTTGCTTCTTTGTGTTTCACGTCTTCATACCACGAACTATGAAGAAAATGTTCAGTTCATGCACTGACATAAACATAATAAAAACAACTTATAATTTAATGGAGCAATAATGAGCACTTGGGCTTGAAATTTTATCTTTCAAAAAGGTCAAGGGTGGGGCTGTGTGAAGATACATTGAATTTAATCTAGTGAGCAATTTCGTAGTACGGCCGCAATAACACCATCATCATTGAACAGGCTAGATAACATGTTTGATCGTGTCTAACTCACAATCACATCATCATCACTGTCAACAAGTATCACTGCAACACTGTTTTGTCTATATATGCCAGTTTGTTCTTTTTAATCAGAATAGTTTTCTGATGTTTCTCAGTTTTGATCTGCAGTTGGAATTTGATCATGTATTCATTCACGTAGAGCTGGATTTTGGAATTGTTGCAGAAACGAAGTTGTTTAATACTTACATCATGCCAGTTGTTCAGAAGTTGTATGATGCATGCAAAGTGTCCTTCTCAACTCAGGGTCCAATATCAGAAGAAGCTCTTGGAAAAGTTAGTGCCATTCTAGGTGCGTTGCTAAAGAGTTTTGAGTCTTTTATTATTACCTAATGAATTTCAGAAATTTCCTCTGTAATTGTGCATAATGTTATCCCCTTACCTTTTATGTAATGCTATTTCAGATGAAATGAAACCTTCAAATGTGGGTCTGGAGCAGGAGGCACAATTGGCACGCCAATGGAAAGGTTCTGTGCATGGTGACAATGACAGAAAAGGACGCAACAGGGGTCATCAACATCCGCCTCCAATCAAGTATCTGCACTTGCATGAATGTGACAGATTTTCTGTAAGCAATTTGTATCACAGTAGGACTTTAACTTTTGATTTGATGTTCTATTTGGAACCTCTGACTTGGATACTCTTCGTTTCCAAAGTAAACTGGAAGCTGGACTCATGGTGTGTAGTTGGGAATTAATTCCTGGACTTATGTTGCAGATAGGAATCTTTTGTATGCCTCCTTCCTCTATCATACCGCTTCATAATCATCCTGGTATGACTGTGTTGACCAAGCTTCTTTATGGTTCAGTGTTAGTCAGATCTTATGATTGGCTTGACTTACCGGAGCTTAGTGATTCTACTCAAGGTCCTCTTGGTTTAAAAGATGCTAGAACTGGTAAATAATGGCTTTTTGATTTAACAAGTATCACTTATTTAATTTACCCGTTGCATCTGTTCTATGCAGTGTCTGTGAAACTGAAAGGAACATGAACAAATGAATGTAATGATGTACCAAAAATAACAGACCAATTGAAATCTGTTGTCACTTTTTAGTTGACTTCAAAAATAAATTGGCTTTTGTATATATGTTTTATTTCTTTTACTTCTTGGGGTCTATTCTAGAGAGTGAAATCATCCGGGTATTCTTCTACCCGATGTCTATGTAACAAGAATTTATTTCTTGTTTCAGATTTTATTGTATACAGTACAGTTTACATACTGAATGTTCACAGCCAGGCAGAATTTTAGCTTGATCAATTTGCTTTTTCCACTCATGATTTTGATGGCTGATTAGTTTTCTGGGTACAGTAGAACACAACATCTTGAGCACCTTTTTTTCAAACACATATTTTCTCTGTATCCGGGCAGTTGATTGGTGACATCTTGCAAAAATTCTTACAATAGGTAAACCGAATCAGCTTGCGCACAAGTTTGCTGAAAGTAATTGGAGGCTGCTTCAAATATTGCTCTTTTGCATCCCCTTAAGTTGTTATTTTTACATCCCATAGTGCATTCCTGTAACAAAATCACACCCTTAGTTTTATAACGATATTTTATCTTTGGTTATTTAATTTATGTATGCTTTAATGAGTCATGATTTGACTGTTCTGCAACATTATCTTCAGTTCTTCAGTTACTCATTTCATACAGCGGCATCCGTGTTTTTAGCTCTAGCTTAATGTTGAATGTTTTGTATCAAATAAACATTTTTTGATTGGTGAAAAATTTACAGCCAGACCTGCAAAACTTGTTAGAGATTGTGAAATGACTGCACCTTGTGGTACCACAGTTCTTTACCCAACCAGTGGTGGCAACATTCATTCTTTCAAAGCATTAACTCCTTGTGCTCTTTTCGATGTCCTTTCTCCTCCATACTGTTCAGAGGATGAGCGAAATTGCTCATATTTTCGCTTGATTCCCAGGAGAGATCTACAAGGTATATATATTACTTGCATTCCCTTTTTTTCTTAAATTTTTATAGCATATGTTCTTTTCTCTTATTTTAATTCCTGAAAATAATTGTTTCTTTTCCTTTGTCATGTTGAAAAGGTACTGCTGAAGTGTGTTGGCTAGAAGAGATTCAACTTCCTGAAAACTTTGTGGTAAGAAGCGGAGCGTACAAAGGCCCCACGATTAGACATTAAAATTTGTGATTAGGTTGAGAAAAGGAGGAGTCATCAAATTGCTTGCTGGATCCTTAGCTGGAAAACTGCCATAAACTAAATGTGGGCTATGCGAGGGATTGAATTGTACATAACATACTCGTTGGCTGAGTGATAAATGCAATTAAAACAAGAGTAAACGACTTTTTCCCACCCAAAGTTTGCCTTAATGATTTTCACCGCCTAAAGAGTTTCAAAATACCACTTTTCCACCCAAAGTTAAATTCCGTTACTACCTAAAGCCAATTCTGGCCGATTCCGATGGTGAAAATTCTCTTTGTCATTACTATTTGAACTTTCAGTCTCCTCTCTACAAAATCTCTCTCACCCCGACGCTTGATTTTTCACCGATTGTTGACTATTGTAAAGTTAGAGTTTCTTGTTCTTAGTCGATTTTCGACTGATTCTAATGACGAATATTTAATCGGTCACCACTCTACAAAACCCCTCTTACCTTGGCTCCTGATAACTCGCCAAACGTCGGCTAAAAAAGTGAATTGTATTTTGGGTATTAACAGAATATAAACTTTGGGTAAGAAAGTGATAATTTGAAACTTTTTGGGTGGCAAAGTGTCATTAAGGAAAACCTTCGAGTGGGAAAAAGTCGTTTACTCTTAAAACAATATACCTTTTTTTCTGGTTAATCTTTTAATGGATATTAATTTTACCGGTGTGCTAGCCAGGATTTGTTTACACCATTTTAGGGCATTGTCAACTTTCCAAATTTGGGTAGTGGATGAATTTTTTAGTGATGGCAATGGGCCGGGCCGGGACCGGGTACCCCTTGGCCCAGGCCCAAGCCCGACCTCATGACACAGGCCCAAGCCCGGCCCGAGCCCGCTACGGGTATGATAGGCAAAGCCCAAGCCCGGCCCGACGGGTTTTTTATAACCATAGGCCCGGCCCAAGCCCGCCTTTTTTAATAATGTTTATTTTTAAATATTAATAAATTTCAATTTTTTTTATTTTTAATTTTAGAAATAGTTTTTAAATATTAATTGAGCTATTTCCGCAAAATATTTTAAGCAATAATTGAGCAATTAACACTCCATAATATTTTATTATACTAACTTTTCAGCTGTGCATAATATGTTATGGTGAAATCCACTTTTATAAGTTGAACCAAACTCATCTAACTCATTTAAAGGCAATTTTAACATGTTAAACCTTCAATATGGGATAAAAATTGAGGTTAGGGTTTGGGAAAAATANCGAGCCCGTAGGCGGTTTTGGGCTTTTCCATGTATAACCGCTGTAGGATTTTTTTTAAGTTATTAATTCCTTTTTGGGTTGGGCTTAGGAATAGGAATCCTTGTAAAACTAGGTTTAATCTCTTAAACCTAGTATATAAACATACTTTTATCTTGTTATGAGTGAGAGAACAATTCATTCATTGTAAACGAGAGAGGTGAGGCATATTGCAATAATATTGACTCAGCTGGACGTAGCCTATATTGGGTGAACCAGGGTAAATCGCGCGTATTATTTTTTCTTTGTTTACTATTTGATTTGTTTTACTATTATATTTTGTTCCTGTTGTTGTCTCTATTTCGTTCAATGATTATGTACTTTAATTCAGTTAACAATTTTTATCAATATGTTAACATTATGGAAGATAATATAAAATAACTTCTTCAACTTAGAGTCATCTCACGCCTGGCAGACTGATTTTGCTTTGTTATTTTTTTAGAACCTGTGTGCTCCTTAGGATGCTTGTGCCCCCGCCCTCTCTTTTTGTATAAAACTTGCATGCTCTTTTTTGGAGCGATTGTGACCATCTTTTTGCCTTGTGTCCAAAAGATGAGCACATCCACTTTGGTTAATTTTGACATTCTTTCGAGGTATGTCTCTTGTATTTTGTATATTTTTTTTTTCTTTTATACACATTTACCATATTAAAATTTAAAAAAAAAAAAATGCTTCTACAATGTGGTGAGTAATCAAATCAAAGGTTCAAGCCCAAAATGAGAAGGAAGACATGGAAAAGCCATAGCCTTATCGAAATGGTGCGTGAGATAATTAATAGGTAGTTGTGAGGATGTGAATTAAAGTTTTATGGATGAAAAAGTGGACAGTTAAAGAGTCTTAAAAATATAGAGTTAATTCAAATTCGAGTAGAGAGAAACCTTGTACTACTTTCAGTCAGCTGTAAATGATTAGGCCCGCCAATAGGTGGTAGACTAAATGTTTAATACTGACTTCAACTGAAACAGAGGTAGTTCTCGAGTCATAAATCCAGCTTTTTTTTTACTCATTTTTATAAGCATTCTCCTTTATCCTTTTCCAAGGTCAACTCAACAAGAATTCCGGCAACTTAATTTCAGGAAAGAGAAATAATTTTCCTGTATAGACTTGTTTACAGATCTTTTCATATAATAGGTTTTCTTAACATATATATTCCCAAAGTTCACACGTGACAGAATTCATCAAAATATATTTTCTTATATGAAGTGAACATTAATTGATTTGTTATCAATTTAATTTGAACGTACTTATATTATAATACATGTACATATACACCCTGAATCCTTCATTTTTCACAGCCATCGATCTATAAAATAGATGTCCAGCTATGGAATTTGTTTTGTTACATTGATACAAGTGATTTTACAGGCAGTATGTAAAACATGTCAAATGAACTTTATAAAATTAAAAATCTGGAGCAACCAAAACCATTGATATGACGTCTTTCTTCCTTATTGATTGCTCTTTATGGTTGGCTCGATGAACGTTTTTTAGAATTTAAGTACTCAAATATTTTTTTTTATGTTTTACAGATCTATTAAACTCTCTGTCGGTCAGCTCGATACCACCTATTTGATTTTAGCTATCTTCCTTTACAGTCATATATAAAGAATAGAGTGCGAGTTTAGATGGGATTAATATAACCGAACAAATTTATCTTTTAACGTTGTCCTTTTAATTAAGTGAAGAAGAATCACAGATGGCATGCTAATTTTTTTTTTTTTTTTTTGGGAAAGTTAAATTTTATAAAAGGAGAGAAATTATACAGAAATAAGGAACATACCCTTAGAAGAGGTCTAAAGAAGGCTAAAACAGGTGTGCCAATTTTTTTTGGAAAAAAATATGGAAACAAACGTCCAAAAGAAAGCATGCAAGCTCCAAATCAAGGAGGGAGATGAGCACAGACACCCTAACAGAGCTCACAGGTTCAAACCAAACAAAAAAGAGAAAATATGCACAAACTCCCAACAAGAGCACATAGGCTCAGAATAAATAAGACCAATTAGTCAGGTAGGCTTCAAATGGCTCTAAGTTGAGAATGGACGACATACTTGGATGTTAGGTTAGAAGTTGATCTCAGACTATGGAAACGATTTCATCAGTGATCACATGCGAGGCCTTGCTCTCATGACTAAACACAGTTATTCTTTTCACACCAAATGAAGTAAATTATGGTAGAGAAGACTAATCGGGCAATATATGATACGAGTATCGTATTGCAAAAGCATCTTTATATATACAACAGTTGTTTAAGATAATGGCTTATGTTAAAAGTGAAGCGCAAAATGATGTTGTATGGAGCTTATCAGTAAGTTGATATTTTAATCTCTTTTACTAAGAATCTTGACCATCACTTCCCCCTTCTAATCTAACAGCTGCCATCAATTCTCTTGGTCAACAATATATAAACAAGTGAAGCTCCTGTTTGCAATTAACAAGTCATCTTTTTTTTTTTATGAACAATCTATTTTGCTAAGATTTTACACTTTTTAGCTCAAATCTTGTAATTTCTTTGAGTGATTATCTGAATCATTTAATGAGGGTTGAGTTTTCTTCAAGTTTAGAGAGTCTAGTGTGAGTTTCTCTTAAGATAGAAATTACTATGTTGTATTTGGGTGGATAGTGATGGTAAGAGAGATTGATATGATATTCTTGTAATATGTAACTATTGAACGATTAGTGTAATTAGCCCCTCTATTATAGAGCTCAACATGGACGTAGTCCATCGAATCTTAAATAAGTGAACTATGGTAAAAATCTCCGTGTCTTGTTTATATTGTGTGTGTACAGATTCTTGATTGTGTGTTTTGGTAAGAATCAAATTAATAATAAGGCTCATATCATAATAACTTATGTAATTAACATGAGTTCCCACTGATTGCATGTAGTTAATCAGAGATTAAAAAACAGTTAACCAGAATAAATTAAGATATTAAGTGGTTTGCCCGTGTTTGGAATTAATTGATTTAAAAATTAAACTCACTCAAACCTGCATTATATATGCTAAGCATCATCCAATAATACTGCGACCGGCCATTTATAAGCACTTGGTAATTTGTTTGGTCATTATTTTTAAATCTAATCTTCAATCCCATGTCTAACAAATTCAGACTGCCAAGCATATATTAAGAATGAATGAGAAACAGTACCCGAGACACACCATTCGGTACGTGATTCTGTTCACTCCATTAATGGTGGTAGCAATCGAATCAGAGTTCCAAAGAGCCCCAAAATAGTGTCCTAAATAGCTATGAAGAAAAACAAACAGAAAAATACCTAGAGATGATTGATAATAAAGTTGATTAATGCAGTTATCAGACATTATTCTCCTTTATGCCAATAAAATATATTATTCTTCATATATAATTTTTAAAGACCAAGATATGTGTAGTGTTGCTAGGTCGGATGTCTTAATCTATGAAAATACTACAAAAAAGAAGCAATTCTTTGAAAGATTCTTAAGAGCTATAAAATAATAAAACTGAGGTCAACTCACCATGCATACGAGAAGACAAAGAATCAAATGTTTTCTATGTACGGTAGGCATTGGAGTGTCTCATTTTCTTTTAAGTTATAATTTAATATATATAAACCTATTTTCCTACTTTCCATCCACGTAGTTTTTTCTGCTAAAACCTCTTTAGTTTAATGCTTAGAATCTGTCTCCTCTCTGTAAGCAACAAAAATATGCACATGTCACACATATCCAGCCAGTTTTATGTGTCTTTTAGTAAAACCTAAAACCTTGAAGTGATTCCCCTCGAGCTGTACTGACCTGAAGACTTTCAAGAGAGAAGACCCACCTTTGCAATGTAGGGACGAAATATAATCCAAACCCTCTGTGGTAATGACTAATGAGCCTCACCTCGAAAAGTAAACCCTTTTGGATGGTTAGGAAAAAGACAAATAATTAAAGGATGAAATTTGGGAATTTAATCAGATGATCAAAATTCCTGATCTTCATTCAGAATTCCTAATTAAATATAATCAAAATGCAATTTTTTTTAATCCTTTTTTTGTTTGTACTTGACTGTGCCCAGATGAGCTTTCTAGTTCTATAATATGGAAAAATAATTGTTGCATGCTCGTCATTGGTAGATCATGCTGATATCACGGAGTAAAATTCAACTTCAATAATTTTCCCGGGTAAGTCGAGCTTCATTAGTCTTCTACTCTCAATAACCTCTAATAATAATAATAATTAACTTCTGCTTGCGTACAATTTTTTTTTCAAAGAAGAGAAACCTCGAAAACAATGCTGGTGATGTTTGTTGTTTGAGATTAAGCCTCTGACTTAGCCTCCAAGTATGTGGTCCATCCTCAGTTTAAAGTCATTTGGAGTCTGTCTAACTGATTGGTCTTGTTTGTTCCGAGCCTATGCACTCCGGTCGAGTGCTTGTGCCCCTTTTTCTTTTATGTTTGCTTTGAACATTTGAGCTTTGTTAGGGTGCCTAAGCCTGTTTCTATCATTTGTTTGGAGTTTGCGTGCTTTCTTTTGGATAATTGTTTCTATTTTTTTGTCCAAAAAGATGAACACATCTGTTATGATTTCCTTTAAGCCTCTTATGAGAGAATACCCATAGTTTTTGTATAGTTTCTCTTTTAAATTTACTTTTTCCAAAATAATAATAATAATAATAATGAAGTTGTTCAAGGCCATGAATTTGATCATCAACTTTGTGTTGTTTTGGTTTTTCCTTTTTTAAAATTAATCCTTCTCCAACTACTTAGTTTTGGTCAGTTTAATAAGTTTTTAAGATGTTATCCCCCCCACTTTCAAGAGACAGTTATGATAAATTGTATTAATTTTAGCTTCACCTGCTCGTAGAAAAGAATTGAAGTAATTATTATTGACATAAATGAAAATAAACACAGTGAGTTTTTCTCTCACATGCAATTGGCTGTAGAACAAAGCAAAAATAAATGCTGTCAAAAGGGCAGCTGTGGTAAACCCTTCCATCTCAAATGCATCATCCTATACAAAATCTAATATTCATAGTTTTAAGGTCATCGAAACGTGCAAAATGGAGGAAGCATTTTCTACAGTCACGAAATACCATTTGACTCGATCGATGATGCCCAGGTTCTAATTTCTAACTTGTAGCGTATTATTGGAACCTAACAAATAAGTATTCAAGGTATTATTGTACCCTTTCTTTCCCAACGAAGTGTGAAGGTAAAAAAAAGTCAAGCTGCAGGGACAATCCCGTGTTATTTAAATAGTTAAATATTAAGTAATATGTCGTCAAATTTGAACGTAAGACAATTCATATTCTTACCATTTGCAATAGAAAATGTCCAGAAAACGATCTATGCCACTTGTTTGAATACGTAGGTCCACCAAAATTGACCAACTTCTAGAGTTATCTGACATTGGCAGCCACATAATGCTGGTACATAATCATACGACCGATTTTTTCGATTGGACCAATAATACATCAAAGTCACAGCATCAAAATGACATTACAAATTAAAGCTTACAAGAAGAACATGGGGACACGAAAACAGTATTTTGATATAAGTAGAAAGTCTTTGTTTAGGTAGGAAGAATTGATATGTTGATGAAAGAAATGGCCCACGCACATTTCTTACAAATTAAACTTATTAATAAACAAATTAATTAATTAGTTTACCATTTAACAACAGAGAGGAGTCTCTTGTAGAGGTCAAACAATTAAGATAATCACGAGAGAGAAAGAGAGAGATTTTACAGCATGGACAACTGTCAAAGCAGGCAATGGAGAAAAAGGGTGGAGTGTAGTCACATGATATCCAACAGTCGCATCTGTATCCATATTGTGAGTTTTATTTCATTATAAAGAGCTCCAGTGGTGTGCTCAGAATATCGTTGATTTTTATTACCCTATGAAAGACTCTTAATTAGAATATATTTCTAATTTTTGGATTTCTTAAATTCTACGGTTCAATCATGAAACAACAACATCCAAATCCTAGAGAAAAACATTACCTGCACCTTGTGTTTTCTCTCTCTTTCTCTCTCTCTCACCCTCACCCTCACCCTCTATTACTTGTTTGAACAATCAATCCACGTCAATCCATAAACCAGGTTACCGGGCATCAAGGCATGGTCTTGGGACCGGTTTGAATATATACTGAGTTAAGAGTTTTTCTGATCATCAACGACTGGGAAGGAGGAGACAGAAGATTAGCTAGCTTCAAACAAATGGTTTGTATCAACATGAAGGAAAAACGAAAACTTTTTTGTTTTCTTTACTACAAATTTCACTCTTTTTAGGTTTTTAATGCTTACTTAAAGATCTTATTTTTGTAATAAGAACTTTATTATACTCTACTTCAAGCTCCTCCTGACTTTAAAAGTAAATCTCAAATCCTCCTTTTTAATCAGTTTTTAATAGTATATTACTCTCAATTTTCCAACCTTTTTGGGTAATCTTAATTCCTCCTTTTAAATTAGTTTTTAAAAGTATATTACTCTCGCTTTCCAACCTTTTTGGGGAAAAAGGAGGAAAAAGATTTATATGATCTTGGGCGAATTTTCCAGTTCCTAAAACTCAGCTACATCTACAAAGTTCTTTCAATATATTGGATATTCCTTCTTCAAGTCTTTCGATGATCTAGTATCGTTAATCTTAGCAAAAATTTAGTATACAAACTATTTGTTCAATAACTATCAGCTGTTTCTTTAATTGTACAAATATTTCCTTTACTTACACCTATAAGTATATATATATCGCTTTAAATTCAAACGATTCGTCATATATTCAGTTTGCTTGAGGCCAGTAAGATGCTTCTGATTGATGAATGGCCATTTCTCTCTCTACACAGAGTAGTTCCAATGTCAATTCATATCCAACAATTACTTCTTTTGTTCTTTTTCTTTTTTCATAAAACTTTTGCAAGCATCCACAAGTTATTTTATATGTGTTGAAATTAATACTAGAATCTTAAAGTTACTCAATGGGAAAATACGATTATTGAAAAGAATCAGATAAGAATCCTGATGTTTTTGAGTCTTTAATCTATGCTGCAGCTCCTACAGACCACACTAAACTAACTTAAATGTTTTAATTTTGCAGCATATTCATAATAAAGCTCTATGTAGATCCTTTTATTTATTTCCAATTTAGTTTCATGCCTTCTAGGGTATACTGTTTAATAAGTTCAATTAATACATTTAATATAATGATTCTTAATTAACATCTACAACAATTTCGTGCAGAAGAATTGAAGATTGAAAAGAAGCAGAAGGATTGGCCTATATCTATCTCAAGCATTGAATTGTAAACGTGTAAGCCTGGCATAATATGATTTTTTTTTTTTTTTTAATTTCTGTTAGCATTGCTATTTTCTTTACCTGAAAAGGCTAGGAGCTCTTAGATTGAGTTTTTTCAGTCTTTTATTTTTCTATTTTTTCAACTTTAATTTGTCATGAATTAAAGAAAGTCATTGCAACCCAGATTCATTTCATGCATATCTGTTTGATTGATTTAAAAGAGAATCAATTAGATGTTGTTCAAGCAAAATGTAATTCCTTTGAATCAAATTCAGTAATGAACATTTTTTCCATTTATATGGGTTGGTGATGCAATTTGTGAAATAGTTTTCACCAATAAATGTTCTACCAAATGTTGAGCGAATCTGCATAAATTTAAAAGGTTAGGTTAGCCTAGAAATATGCCAGCATACAGCCATAAACTATAGGAAATTAATATTTAAGAATACTACCTCTTGTAGTTAAATGCTACGAAGGAACACAAAATACTAGCTATCTTCATTACAAATATGCTATGTTGTATACATCATCTTCACTTGGATATTAGCGCTACTTTATAAACAGGTCAATGCCCTTGTTATTAGGGTTCGTAAGAAAAGCATCCAGTGGAATATATAATATAACTGCTGCCATGCATGCATATATTATATATTGTTTGTTTCATGGACCACGCAATTATCTATAAGGTACATCTCTAACATTATTAAGTTATACAGGCCATTCAAATTCTTTGAGTAGCTAGTACTTAGCTAGCTATCCTGTGTTTTTTATATAAAAATATGTTATGTTCTTGTATTATAAAATACTTTAAGGATTAAGAACAAAAATACTACATTTGTAATCAAATTTCACAACATTCTTTTACAACTCTAACGTGATAGCAGAGTTAACACTATTACATCAACAGAAGATTTTGACTAAATATGAATGGTCGTATCCTTAAAGATGAGCGGTCGTTCCTTTCATAAGGAACAACTATTCCATTCATAAGGAACAATCATTTCTTATGAAAGAATGGTTGTTCCTTCATAAGGAATGACCAATCCTCATGAAGGAATGGTTTTCCTTGTGAAGGAATGACTACTCCTTCATAAGAAACAATTGTTTGTTATTAAAGAATGATCGATCGTCACTAAAAAATGATTGTTCGTGTCTAATCAAAGTCATTTAGTGTCTTGGGTGCAGTGAAAACTGACATGACAATGGTCAACTCAACTGTCACGTTAAGATGTTAAGATTATAGGAGAAGGTTGTGAAATTAAGTTGTGGACGTAATATTACTCAATTAGGAAATATAGTATCCAGCCATTTTCATAACATGGCTGCAATATGAATGCGAGGCTTAATCAAAACAGCTTTTCAAGAAACTAATTAAATGATGGTTGAGAAACATGCCAACATTATTTGACTTAAAACTTATTAATTTTTCTTATGTGTAATTAAACTTTCTCTAATTTCCTAATTCATTTTCAAACAATTTCCAACCTTTGTATAATACTCTTAGCAGACTGACAACTATTGAAGAAATTGATTATATATGAGAAATGGTCAAAAGGAATTGAGAACAGCCATGGCAGAAGATTCAGAGATCTATGGTCAAGAAAAGAGTGAAAGGACTGAAGAACAAGCTGAAAACACATCCGGAGTGTCCTCCCAAAAGTGTTCATCCTTTGACTTGAATGAAGAAGCCAGCAGTGAAGAGGATGATAGTTTTGCCAAGGTTGCAGAACTAAGCGTTGAAGATGATGAGAAAGGAACAGAAGGGAGTTCTTCTGATAATAATCTCACTAACGAAGGAGGAAATGAACGAAGGCCTGCTGTTAGGCAATATATCCGCTCAAAAATGCCTAGGCTCCGATGGACTCCGGACCTCCATCTCTCTTTTGTGCACGCTGTTGAGAGGCTTGGTGGACAAGAGAGTAAGTTCCCTTTGATGCATGTTTTACTTTTCCTCCGGTCAAATGAGTGTCGGTTCATATTTATCTTCTCCTGTATGATCCTAAGAGATAATACAAGAGAGAGGATTGTCTCTTTCCTTTTCAATTAACTAGTTTTCACTCTCTTTGAATTGGAGCAGAAGCGACTCCCAAATTGGTTCTTCAGCTAATGAATGTGCGGGGACTTAGCATTGCTCATGTAAAGAGTCACTTGCAGGTGACAATTAANTATATATATATATAACCAGTTTTGCATGATTGAAGGTTTGTAATCGATTGAGTTGTTCCCTCTTAATTATTTGTAAATTGATCTAATATATTCATGATGATGTACATAGATTGAATTAGAAAATGCATGATTTATATATTTGAATCTTTTTTTACAAAATAATTACAGAAAATCTCTAATTTCCCTGTTCTCTCTTGCATCCTAATCTTTTATATATATATATATCTCACTTTGATCACAAATAAACTATTCTTTTTCACATTCAAACGTAAAATATTATTGATTATGTTGGAAATTTTCCATAAATATTACTCTAATGTTCATTCTATTTTTGAGTTAATTAGAATGGATAATTTCTTTAATGGTGGCATTTATATGTGTAATATTATTTGATATAGAATGGGAGCTGAAATAATTAAGGTCATGGAAGTATAATTATTTTTTTTGAGTAAACGACCCTTTGCCCATCCAAGGTTTGCCTTATTGACACTTTCCCACAAAAAGTGTTTCAAAATACCATTTTTCCACCCAATATTTATATTCCGTTAATACTCAAAATATACTTCACTTTCTCAGTTGGCGTTCAACAAGTTATCAGGAGTCAGATTAACAGAGTTTTTGTGTAGTGGAGGCCGATGGATTAAATTGTAATGACTGATTGAATATTCGCTGTCGAAATCATCCGAAAATCAACTAAGAACAAGAAACCCTAACTTTGCGATGGTCAACAATTTGCGAGAAATCAAATGTCAAAGTGAGAGGGGTTTTGTAGAGAAGAGATCGAAGGTTCAAATGGTTGTGATAAAGAGAATTTTTTCAATCGGAATTAACTTTTCGTAGTAACAGAATATTAACTTTAGATGAGAAAGTGATATTTTAAAATTTTTTGGGTGGAAAAGTGTCATAAAGGCAAACCTTGGGTGGGAAAAAGTTGTTTACTCTACTTTTTTTATTTTTAACTTTTAAATAGACAATATTTGTTTTGACTAGGAGCTTATTTTTTTTCTCAATATTGGAACTCAATGCACACCTATATATCGAATTGATACAATTCTTCTTTTCATTTTCGCCTAAATAAATAATATTTGAAGCATCTAAAAGTCAAGCATCGAGAGTTAGGTAATGATTTAACGTTTATTAATTAGGATGTATTTTTGAAAAATAATGAAGAATGCTTACAATACACAGCAAAATAGCCCAATAGGCCCAGTCTCCGTGGAGTGGGTTTAGAGCTGCCTTTAATGCAAATGGCCACTTTCTGCCTCTAGAAGGATCCAAATTTTTGCGGGTTTAAATAACACAAAAAAGGGGTTGCTCTATTAGGCCAACTACCAATTTAAGAAATTCCATTTTTTAAATTATTAATACAATATATTATTATTAATTTTAAAAAAATAACAATAAAATTGGAAAAGAGAAAATAAAAAATATATTTCAGTAGGGGACATATAGAAATGAGCTTCTAAGGTTGATCCAATATCAGTAGTTGACCCACAATATCAGTAGTTGTTATTCAAGCCCCAATCAAAATTCCTTTTAAGTTTTAATATTATTTTTTAAATTTAAAAAAAGCGCTGTACGTTAAAATATTATAAGGAGAAGGTTGTGAGATTAAGTGTGAGTAATATTACTCAATTAGGAAATATAGTATCCAGCCATTTTCATAACATGGCTGCAAATGAATGTGAGAGGGTAATTAAAACAGCTTTTCAAGAAACTAATAAATGATGGTTGAGAATGCCAACATTATTTGACTAAAACTTATTAATTTTCTATGTGTAATTAAACTTTCTCTAATTCCTAATTCATTTTCAAACAATTTCCAACCTTTGTATAATATCTTAGCAGAATGACAACTATTGAAGAAATGATTATATATGAGAAATGGTCAAAAGGAATTGAGAACAGCCATGGCAGAGATTCAGAGATTATGGTCAAGAAAAGAGTGAAAGGACTGAAGAACAAGCTGAAAACACATCCGGAGTGTCCTCCCAAAAGTGTCATCCTTTGACTTGAATGAAGAAGCCAGCAGTGAAGAGGATAGTTTTGCCAAGGTTGCAGAACTAAGCGTTGAAGATGATGAGAAGGAACAGAAGGGAGTTCTTCTGATAATAATCTCACTAACGAAGGAGGAAATGAACGAAGGCCTGCCGTTAGGCAATATATCCGCTCAAAAATGCCTAGGCTCCGATGGACTCCTGACCTCCATCTCCTTTGTGCACGCTGTTGAGAGCTTGGTGGACAAGAGAGTAAGTTCCCTTTGATGCATGTTTACTTTTCCTCGTCAAAGAGTGTCGGTTCATATTTCTCTTCTCCGATGATCCTAAGAGATAATACAAGAGAGAGGATGTCTCTTTCCTTTTCAATTAACTAGTTTCACTCTTTGAATTGGAGCAGAAGCGACTCCCAAATTGGTTCTTCAGCTAATGAATGTGCGGGGACTAGCCTGCTCATGTAAAGAGTCACTTGCAGGGGACAATTAATATTGGGGAATTATATTTATCTTTTTTCGAATTTTCTTTTTCCATATTTTATTTCTAGTTCATTTTGTGTAAATTTGATTCCATGCACAGATGTATCGCAGTAAGAAGCTTGATGAGGCTGGACAAGGTAATATTTGCTCCTTTACTTCTCATATATAATGCAACTATGACTGCCCTAGCAGTACCTATATGATTTTTAATAAGTTAACAAAGTAGCATCATTTAATTTTTACCAGGATTTTTGTGTTAGTACCCTGCGTATTGTAAACTTGACATGTTCAGTTTCTAAGAGAAAGAATGAAGAAAAAAAATTAATTAAATTGAATCTTCAGGGTCTAAGAATATGGTACAATATGTGTTTGGTATATATATTATGAATAATCTTAGATCATATAATGGTCTCATTAATTTTTCCTCTACTATCATAGGTTGATTAATAATTAATTATTTTTTTTTTATATTGTTCTTGAAAAAAAAAATTATTTCAAAATCTCAAAAAACATCTTTGTGGGGTATTTTAAAGACAGTTTCTTAGACAAAAAAAAAAATGAAATATGTCCAATATATACTTAATATTTTAATATATGTATTTTTTCTTTAAACTAAAACAGGAATGAATTTAACAAAAGTATGCCTATAAGGGTTTTTGAAAAGAAAATATTGATGTGTACCTTACTTAATAGAGAGAACCATTCAAGATTAAAAAAAAAAAAAAAAAACATAGAAAATCTAAACCAAATTTGAAGAATTTAGAAACGTTTTGGTTTGTGTTGTGCAGTGCTAGTCGTACGTACAGAACGATGCAAGGAAGGGACAACATTCGGGGCATGTTTCACCGCCGGTTATGAGCAGTCCTCCTCAACACTTCAGAATGGAGAACGTGGAATTGTTCTCACCACAAATTTTCATGAAAACAGTCCATCAATCACAACCGTCCACAATCGCCTCTCTTGCAGCGACCAATACACTTCGGAGCTAACTTTTCTAGGTAATAACAAAGCTAAAGGAAATCATATAATCATCTAGTACCGATGAATTCAATTAAAATCATCACCACCCGAGCATTATCCTTATTATAGATTTTCTTTCTACTGAAGGCAACAACGGTGGGCTTCTGATGACCCAACAGTAAGGCCAAGTTCTACTAGGCAAAGATCATGCAATGGGGATTGAGCCAATGAGACCTAGTCGATTTCTTGAGGAGAAAGAGGTGGGCTCCTTTTGAAATGATTAACAGTCGATGGAAGGCCAATCGACTTTCCACCATGCAACCGAGGTCTTTAGAAACCCTGGAAATGATACAATGACAGCCGTTTCTATCCAATCCCCACAATTCTGTGGGCAATTTCAATAACTTAAGCCAGAGTTTCAACCTCCATTTCGGCTTGAGGTAAAGATTTTGGATTTAGATCGAAGCTGTCTATGGTGAATAAAAATGTTCTTATTCCTAAAGTTAATATTAGCTTTTTTGCAGTTGACAGGAGATAAAACATCCAAGGAGAAGGAATGGCTGCCAGACCTGCAACTGAGACTGAGCCAAAGGGTTGGAATTGATGAGGAGAGACTCATTGTAAAAACCTGAAGAAATTAACACTAAGCTTTCACTTTCTTAGCCTTCGGGAGGCAAAAGTTAATTAATAACAACCGACAACATGAGACAAATTTATAAAGATCCAAACCAAATTAAACCCGACATCTACACCAAATAGATTGCAGCAAGGCCATTTAAAGCTAAGTACTTACTAAGGATCGACTATGTTTGAGAAATCTGGACAGTGAGATTTTCAGGTACTTGTCTTAGAGCCATTAAGTATGGTGATGAAAATTTTTTTATTTTATTTTTCGGAATATTATATATATATATTAATATATATATATCTATAGTTTTTAAAAGTATATTACTCTCGCTTTCCAACCTTTTTGGGGAAAAAGGAGGAAAAAGATTTATATGATCTTAGGCGAATTTTCCAGTTCCTAAAACTCAGCTACATCTACAAAGTTCTTTCAATAAATTGGATATTCCTTCTTCAAGTCTTTCGATGATCTAGTATCGTTAATCTTAGCAAAAATTTAATATACAAACTATTTGTTCAATAACTATCAGCTGTTTCCTTAATTGTACAAATATTTCTTTTACATACACCTATAAGTATATATATATCGCTTTAAATTCAAACAATTCGTCATATATTCAGTTTTCTTGAGGCCAGAAAGATGCTTCTGATTGATGAATGGCCGTTTCTCTCTCTACACAGAGTAGCTCCAATGTCAATTCATATCCAACAATTACTTCTTTTTTTCTTTTTCTTTTTTCATAAAACTTTTGCAAGCATCCACAAGTTATTTTATATGTGTTGAAATTAATACTAGACTCTTAAAGTTACTCAATCGGAAAATACGATTATTGAACAGAATCAGATAAGAATCCTGATGTTTTTGAGTCTTTAATCTATGCTGCAGCTCCTACAGACCACACTAAACTAACTTAAATGTTTTAATTTTGCAACATATTCATAATAAAGCTCTATGTTGATCCTTTTATTTATTTCCAATTTAGTTTCATGCCTTCTAGGGTATACTGTTTAATAAGTTCAATTAATACATTTAATATAATGATTCTTAATTAACATCTACAACAATTTGGTGCAGAAGAATTGAAGATTGAAAAGAAGCAGAAGGATTGGCCTATATCTATCTCAAGCATTGAATTGTAAACATGTAAGCCTGGCATAATATGATTTTTTTTTTTTTTTTCATTTCTGTTAGCATTGCTATTTTCTTTACCTGAAAAGGCTAGGAGCTCTTAGATTGAGTTTTTTCAGTCTTTTATTTTTCTATTTTTTCAACTTTAATTTGTCATGAATTAAAGAAAGTCATTGCAACCCAGATTCATTTCATGCATATCTGTTTGATTGATTTAAAAGAGAATCAATTAGATGTTGTTCAAGCAAAATGTAATTCCTTTGAATCAAATTCAGTAATGAACATTTTTTCCATTTATATGGGTTGGTGATGCAATTTGTGAAATAGTTTTCACCAATAAATGTTCTACCAAATGTTGAGCGAATCTGCATAAATTTAAAAGGTTAGGTTAGCCTAGAAATATGCCAGCATACAGCCATAAACTATAGGAAATTAATATTTAAGAATACTACCTCTTGTAGTTAAATGCTACGAAGGAACACAAAATACTAGCTATCTTCATTACAAATATGCTATGTTGTATACATCAGGTTAGCCTAGAAATATGCCAGCATACAGCCATAAACTATAGGAAATTAATATTTAAGAATACTACCTCTTGTAGTTAAATGCTACGAAGGAACACAAAATACTAGCTATCTTCATTACAAATATGCTATGTTGTATACATCAGGTTAGCCTAGAAATATGCCAGCATACAGCCATAAACTATAGGAAATTAATATTTAAGAATACTACCTCTTGTAGTTAAATGCTACGAAGGAACACAAAATACTAGCTATCTTCATTACAAATATGCTATGTTGTATACATCAGGTTAGCCTAGAAATATGCCAGCATACAGCCATAAACTATAGGAAATTAATATTTAAGAATACTACCTCTTGTAGTTAAATGCTACGAAGGAACACAAAATACTAGCTATCTTCATTACAAATATGCTATGTTGTATACATCATCTTCACTTGGATATTAGCGCTACTTTATAAACAGGTCAATGCCCTTGTTATTAGGGTTCGTAAGAAAAGCATCCAGTGGAATATATAATATAACTGCTGCCATGCATGCATATATTATATATTGTTTGTTTCATGGACCACGCAATTATCTATAAGGTACATCTCTAACATTATTAAGTTATACAGGCCATTCAAATTCTTTGAGTAGCTAGTACTTAGCTAGCAATACTGTGTTGTTTATATAAAAATATGTTATGTTCTTGTATTATAAAATACTTTAAGAATTAAGAACAAAAATACTACATTTATAACCAAATTTCACAATATTCTTTTACAACTCTAACATGACAACAAAGTTAACATTATCACGTTAATAGAAGATTTTGACTAAATATGAATGATCGTCTCCTTAAAGACGAAAGGTTGTTCCTTTCATAAAGAACAATTATTCCATTCATAAAAAACAATAATTTTTTTATGAAAGAATGATTGTTCCTTCATAAGGAATAACCAATCCTCATGAATGAATGGTTTTCCTTGCGAAGGAATGACTGCTTTTTCATAAGAAACAGTTGTTCGTTATTAAAGAATCGCTAAAAAGCAATTGTTCGTGTCTAATCAAAGTCATTTAGTGTCTTGGGTGCAGTGAAAGCTGATATGATAATGGTCAACTCAGCTGTCACGTTAAAATTATAAGAGAAGGTTGTGAGATTAAGTCATGAGTGTAATATTACTCAATTAGGAAATATAGTATCCAGCCATTTTCATAACATGGCTGCAATATGAATGTGAGAGTTAATTAAAACAGCTTTTCAAGAAACTAATTAAATGATGGTTGAGAATCATGCCAACATTATTTGACTTAAAACTTATTAATTTTTCTTATGTGTAATTAAACTTTCTCTAATTTCCTAATTCATTTTCAAACAATTTCCAACCTTTGTATAATACTCTTAGCAGACTGACAACTATTGAAGAAATTGATTATATATGAGAAATGGTCAAAAGGAATTGAGAACAGCCATGACAGAAGATTCAGAGATCTATGGTCAAGAAAAGAGTGAAAGGACTGAAGAACAAGCTGAAAACACATCCGGAGTGTCCTCCCAAAAGTGTTCATCCTTTGACTTGAATGAAGAAGCCAGCAGTGAAGAGGATAGTTTTGCCAAGGTTGCAGAACTAAGCGTTGAAGATGATGAGAAAGGAACAGAAGGGAGTTCTTCTGATAATAATCTCACTAACGAAGGAGGAAATGAACGAAGGCCTGCTGTTAGGCAATATATCCGCTCAAAAATGCCTAGGCTCCGATGGACTCCTGACCTCCATCTCTCTTTTGTGCACGCTGTTGAGAGTCTTGGTGGACAAGAGAGTAAGTTCCCTTTGATGCATGTTTTACTTTTCCTCCTGTCAAATGAGTGTCGGTTCATATTTCTCTTCTCCTGCATGATCCTAAGAGATAATACAAGAGAGAGGATTGTCTCTTTCCTTTTCAATTAACTAGTTTTCACTCTCTTTGAATTGGAGCAGAAGCGACTCCCAAATTGGTTCTTCAGCTAATGAATGTGCGGGGACTTAGCATTGCTCATGTAAAGAGTCACTTGCAGGTGACAATTAATTATTGGGGAATTATATTTAATCTTTTTTCGAATTTTCTTTTTCCATATTTTATTTCCTAGTTCATTTTGTGTAAATTTGTATTCCATGCATCAGATGTATCGCAGTAAGAAGCTTGATGAGGCTGGACAAGGTAATATTTGCTCCCTTTACTTCTCATATATAATGCAACTATGACTGCCCTAGCAGTACATATATGATTTTTAATAAGTTAACAAAGTAGCATCATTTAATTTTTACCAAGGATTTTTGTGTTAGTACCCTGCGTATTGTAAACTTGACACTGTTCAGTTTCTTAAGAGAAAGAAATGAAGAAAAAAAATTAATTAAATTGAATGTTTCTGCAGGTCCTAAGATATCTTGGTACAATATTGTGGTTTGGTATATATATTATGAATAATCTCATGATCATATAAGTGTTCTCATTAATTTTTCCCTCTACTATCATAGGTTGATTTAATTAATTAATTAATTTTTTTTTTATAATTGTTCTTGAAAAAAAAAATTGTATTTCAAAATCTCAAAAAACATCTTTGTGGTGTATTTTAAAGACAGTTTCTTAAGAACAAAAAAAAATGAAATATGTCCAATATATACTTAATATTTTAATATATGATATTTTTTTTCTTTAAACTAAAACAGGAATGAATTTAACAAAAGTATGCACTATAAGGGTTTTTGAAAAGAAAATATTGATGTGTACCTTACTTAATAGAGAGAACAATTCATAGATAAAAAAAAAAAAAAAAAAACATAGAAAATCTAAACCAAATTCTGAAGAATTTAGAAAACGTTTTGGTTTGTGTTGTGCAGTGCTAAGTCGTACGTACAGAACGATGCAAGGAAGGGACAACATTCGGGGCATGTTTCACCCGCCGGTTATGAGCAGTCCTCATCAACACTTCAGAATGGAGAACGGTGGAATTGTTCTCACCACAAATTTTCATGAAAACAGTCACATCAATCACAACCGTCCACAATCGCCTCTCTTGCAGCGACCAATACACTTCGGAGCTAACTTTTCTAGGTAATAACAAAGCTAAAGGAAATCATATAATCATCTAGTACTGATGAATTCAATTAAAATCATCATCCACTCGAGCATTATCCTTAATTATAGACTTCTTTCTTTCTACTTGAAGGCAACAACGGTGGGCTTCTGATGACCCAACAGTAAGGCCAAGTTCTCTACTAGGCAAAGATCATGCAATGGGGATTGAGCCAATGAGACCTAGTCGATTTCTTGAGGAAAAGAGGTGGCCTCCTTTTGAAATGATTAACAGTCGATGGAAGGCCAATCGACTTTCCACCATGCAACCGAGGTCTTTTAGAAACCCTGGAAATGATACAATGATCAGCCAGTTTCTATCCAATCCCCACAATTCTGTGGGCAATTTCAATAACTTTAAGCCAGAGTTTCAACCTCCATTTCGGCTTGAGGTAAAGATTTTGGATTTTTCAGATGCGAAGCTGTCTATGGTGAATAAAAATGTTCTTTATCCTAAAGTTAATATTAGCTTTTTTGCAGTTGACAGGAGATAAAACATCCAAGGAGAAGGAATGGCTGCCAGACCTGCAACTGAGACTGAGCCAAAGGGTTGGAATTGATGAGGAGAAGACTCATTGTAAAAACACTGAAGAAATTAACACTAAGCTTTCACTTTCTTAGCCCTTATTCGGGGAGGCAAAAGTTAATTAATAACAACCGACAACATTGAGACAAATTTATAAAGATCTCCAAACCAAATTAAACCAGACATCTACACGCAAATAGATTGCAGCAAGGCCATTTAAAGCTAAGTACTTACTAAGGATCCGACTATGTTTGAGAAAATCATTGGACAGTGAGATCTTTTCAGGTACTTTGTCTTAGAGCCATTTATAAGTATGGTGATGAAAATTTTTTTTATTTTATTTTTCGGAATATGTATATATAACCAGTTTTGCATGATTGAAGTAAACCCTGGAAATTAAGGTTTGTAATCGATTGAGTCGTTCCCTCTTAATTATTTGTAAATTGATCTAATATATTCATGATGATGTGCATAGATTTATATATTTGAATCTTTTTTTACAAAATAATTACAGAAAATCTCTAATTTCCTTGTTGTCTTTTGCATCCTAATATATATATATATATATATATTATATCTATATTATAATATTATATATCTCACTTTGATCACAATAAACTATTCTTTTTCACATTCAAACGTAAAATATTATTGATTATGTTGGAAATTTTCCATAAATTACTCTAATGTTCATTCTATTTTGAGTTATTGATGGATAATTTCTTTAATGGTGCATTTATATGTGTAATATTATTTGATATAGAATGGGACTGAAATAATTAAGGCCATGGAAGTATAATTATTATTAGTTATTTTTTTTGAGTAAAGGACCCTTTGCCTCCCAAGGTTTGCCTTATGACACTTTCCCACAAAAGTGTTTCAAAATATACTTTTCCACCCAATTATATTCCGTTAATACCCAAATATACTTCCTTTCTCATGGCGTTCAACAAGTTATCAGGAGTCAGATTAACAGGTTTTTTGTAGTGGAGGCCGTGGATGATTGTGATGACGATTGAATATTCGCTGCAGAATCATCGAAAATCAACTAAGACAGGAAACCCTAACTTGGCGATGGCAACAATTTGCAGAAATAAATGTTAAGTGAGAGGGGTTTTGTAGAAAAGAGATCGAAGGTTCAAATGTTATGACAAGAGAATTTTTTCATTGGAATAACTTTTCGTAGTAACAGATATATTACTTTGGATAGAAAGTGATATTTTAAAACTTTTTGAGTAGAAAAGTGTCATAAAGGCAAACCTTGGGTGGGAAAAAGTCGTTTACTCTACTTTTTTTCTTTTTAACTTTTAAATAGACAATATTTGTTTTGTCTAGGAGCTTATTTTTTTTCTCAATATTGGAACTCAATGCACACCTATATATCGAATTGATACAATTCTTCTTTTCATTTTCGCCTAAATAAATAATATTTGAAGCATCTAAAAGTCGAGCTTGGAGAGTTAGGTAATGATTTAACGTTTATTAATTAGGATTTATTTTTGAAAAATAATGAAGAATGCTTACAATACACAGAAAAATAGCCCAATAGGCCCAGTCTCCGTGGAGTGGGTTTAGAGCTGCCTTTAATGCAAATGGCCACTTTCTGCCTCTAGAAGGATCCAAATTTTTGCGGGTTTAAATAACACAAAAAAGGGGTTGCTCTATTTGGCCAACTACCAATTTAAGAAATTCCATTTTTAAATTATTAATACAATATATTATGATTAATTTAAATAAAATAACAATAAAATTGGAAAAGAGAAAATAAAAGATATATTTCAGTAGGGGACATATAGAAATGAGCTTCTCAGGTTGATCCAATATCAGTAGTTGACCCACAATATCAGTAGTTGTTATTCAAGCCCCAATCAAAATTCCTTTTAAGTTTTAATATTATTTTTTAAATTTAAAAAATATATTATACATATAAATTACCAAAAAGGATTATTATATTTTTTCATTTGTTTCGTTTATTTACTAAATTAGTTCTATAGACTCTCTAGAATTTTTTATTTTAAAGAAATTGTTTGCAAAACCATGTTGATTTGATTGCACCACAGAAATGTTGGAGATCTCATGTCGACTAGACACGCTCAAGCTAATGGGTTTATGAGAGTGGACAATCTACCTACTCAATAAGGCTTTTTGGGTGAGGAGTTAGACCTAACTCCAATAAGTGGTATCAGAGCCAGCCCCATTTGAGCTGAGTGATTGACCAGCAGTGAGCTACCAAACTACTTCCATCATAGACAATTGGACTATATGGGCTTGACCGTAAGGGGGAGTGTTGGAGATCCCATGTCGACTAGACACGCTCAAGCTAATGAGTTTATAAGAGTGGACAATCCTCCAACTCAATAAGGCTTTTTAGGTGAAGAGTTAAGCCTAACTCTAACAAATGGTATCAGAGCCAGTCCCATTTGAGCTGAGTGATTAACCAGCAGTGAGTTGCCAAACTACTTCCATTCATAGGCAAGTGGACCATATGGGCTTGACCGTAACGAGGAGTGTTGGAGGTCCCATGTCGACTAGGCACGCTCAAGCTAATGAGTTTATAAGAGTGGACAATCCTCTCACTCAATAAAACCTTTTGGGTGAGGAGTTAGGCCTAACTCCAACAAGAAATACCCATAAATAAACCAGATTATGATTTACATTAAAATCGTTCCAATGGAAACTCAAGCAAAATCAACCTACATATAATTTGGCACTTAGTATATGTAGCTGTAAATGTTCAGGAAGCTGTATCTCAATTCATTTCCAGAACAGTATAGTGATTTCTGTGAAGTACAAGTATGAAGGAAGATCGATGTATGAGAATTGATCTTCAAAAGATTTATGACCATTCCAAGAAATTAAATATAACCTGATATAACTACTGAATTAGCCCACACTTATGCAAAAGACATTCACAACAGCGACTTACAAAGCTTATACAGATACTGAAACCGGGCACACAAATACCACAGGCCTAGTATACACTGGAAGAAGTAATAAGATGATAATCTTCCCGGGAAAAAAGTATTAGCTGGAAGGTTTTAGCTACCTCTGACTACTGTCAAATAAAACTGCTCAAACAGATCCTGTAGTCCAAGGACTTTGAGGAGGATCTTCACACACTTCATGTTTTGGATTGCTGCGAAAAGTGAGCAGTTAATTCCTGTCAAGGAGATACAGAGGAAATACAGAAATGAAAGTTAGTTCTTTTATCTAATCATTAAGACTTTTATGAAAGAATACCATTGAAGTTAAAACATTACCTCTGAGTAACGTTTGTGATCATGATGTGAATAGGAAGTTTTTACAATTGTTTCCCACTTGGTACTAGTATTAGAATCCTGCCTTTTAGGATGAAATCTGCTGCGATATGAAGGCGAAAAAGAATTTTGTGAAGAAACTGAAGGTAGAGTACGCCAAAGCCAGGACTCGGAAGGTTTTTGAGGTAAAGGCGGGGGAAGAGGAGACTGTTCAAAATCACTGTTAAGACATCCTGGATCATCTTTCTCTAAATATTGCTCCTTGCTACCATTTAGATTTCCATCATCAACAACTTTTACAAGTTCCGAAGACTTGCATTCCTGATTCAGTTCTCCAGGATGCAATATTCCAGAGAAAGAAGACTGCTTGGCTTTCATGGAACCCACGGTTTTAGTTTCTAATATGTTCCCTCCCTTTGCAATGTTCAGGCACTTCACATCTTGTAAAAGGGATTCTGCACTAGCAGTTTCTTCTATCCCTCTTCTTCCCATTGAGGTTTCAAAACTCTTGCGCACTAGGTCCATTTGCCCCATGGTATCTGAGGAAAATGAATTCGAAGACGATATTTTGGCAAATTTTACAGTATCTACATAAAGTGTCTTCTCAACCGCGGGGCTCAGTGAGCCTGACCCTCTTTTAAAACTCTGATAGGGTAATAATTCCTGAGACTTGCTACTAGATTTGTCAGACAAATTCAATCTAGTTGCTCTGATGTTCTCAGTTTCTTTAGGAACACCAAGAAACCCCACTCCACGAAAGGGAGACTGGGGTCTTTCATTTCGGTAGGGAGAAATGCCACGCCTGTAAGGAGATGACCTATTTGACATATCCTGCTCATTTGAGCAAGTAAACCGATTGGATCCATTGGTCATTTTATTCTCGATCCCCAATATAAGCTTTGGTGATTGAACTCCGGAGTCTGATTGATGCTTATAAACAGAATCTCTGGCATGCTGAGAAGATACAAGAACATAACCACATAAGCAATGAAGGCAATGTCTATTAGTTGGAGCAAGAACATTGAACAATAAATAAGGAAAAAGCAAAAAATCTCCAAAGTACCTTCTTGATAGTTTGGCTGTGAGTTTGAGCATAAGTTGCTTTGCCTGACTTTCTGACCTCAGAGGTTGAAGACATTGAAGAGTGGGTTCTAACCTTCAAACCTGGAACTGGATTTAAGAGGCACAAAGACTTATTTAAGCATAACCGAGGAAACAAACCACAACCTCTACTTGATAAATTGCCAGATTCATCATACTCATCAACTTCATCCTCACTTTCTCCTTCATCTGTGTCTTCACCATAATGCGGTATGACAATAGACTCGTTAAAAGGAGGCTTCCTATCTTCACTAATAACCTTCACAACCTGTCTTGGTTGCTCAACTGCCACAGGTTGCCTCCTTGAAGCATACTGAGGTGGCTCTAAAGCCATTGCCTTGGCTGCAGGTAAGAAACGACTCATCATGAAATCTCGAGTTTGTGGATCCGTAGAAAAGGTTCCTGCCCGCTTTATAACCGGACCATCAGACCCACTGACACCACTTACACTACAACTCATAGAAAATGAATCAGTTGGAGACAGTGCATCAACTGCATCGGAATAAACATCATCATCATCCTCCAAATATAAGTTCTTCTCCTCATTTCCCTCTTTTGAGCAATCATATCTAGTCACACCATCAATCAAAGAACATGACTCAATTTTTGGCCTATCTTCGACTTCTTTCTCCAAAGGATACTTTATAATATCCAGATCCCTCCGTGGTGGAAGTCTTGGAGTAACAGAAGCCTCCTCAAGTTGTTGAGGCTCAGGTCCACCGTCCTTTGGTTGTCCGGGGGTCTGCTCCCAAAAAAATGGAACCGCAACTGGTTCTGTCACCTGCTCCAAGTTTAAGTCTGACCTATAAAATGGTATCGTATATCGTCTGTTGGGCCGGGAATCCTCAATTATCTTCCCATTCTTCCCATCTGAAGATGCTACTGATGTTGAAAATCGCCTCACAGATAAAAGTGGTGCATTAAAATTCAATTTTCTTTCCTCCATCTCGTTTAACAACAGAACAAATTTTCTGCACCACCTCTTTTTTTTTTATTATTATTTTATTTTTTTCCAAACTTAACCAATTTAACCAAACCACTCCCACCTTGTGTGAGCAGAATACAATCGTAAGAACTCTACAGCCACAGTAAAGAGAACCAATCAATCAATTGAAGTAACTAGTACCGACAAATCTGCACCACCTCTTTTACTTAAAGTTCACCGACTGCAAACTTTTCATATCCTGTGAGAAGAGACCGCTCAAAAGATTATGGTAAACCCCTCCATATCTCAAATTTTACAAACATCATATGATAAACCAAGAATGATTTCAAAGAATCTGAAAATACTTAAAAAGAACATATTAATTTAGCACATATTTTCCCTAAATAAGCAAGCAATTATAGAGCAAACTTCAAAAGCTAGAGAATTTATTGTTCTTGCCTCCGTGGTTAAAAAAAAAAAAAAAAAAAAAAAATTGCCATCCACCGTCGGTTGCTATCTAAAGCTGGGACAAACATTAAATTAAACCCTGCATTTCTTTATTTTTCATTATATGAGATCTGTCAAACACTCTACCAAATTAAATTACTCTAATAAATATCAAAACCAGATATTTGGATCCGAAAATCAACTTTTAATAGTTTCATTCGTTTGCAAAAGTAATTTGTGTAGCACAGTTGTATTAAATGAACACAATTATGCCATTAAAGACAGTGAGATTGAATTTCGTAAAAGAACAATAACTGAGTGAGGTGAATTCTATCTACTCTACCAAAGTGATTTTACCAAGGAGTACATCTTCCTGTCAGGATAAACAAAAAAACTAAACCCATAAATAGTTTCATAAATACAAACTTACCAGTAGTGTAACATCAAGTGGGCACTAAATATCTGACGCTATGAACTCCACCGCAATGTAATGAAAACAGAACAAACTCTGTAGCCCAAAAACAGAGACAAAGTGGTGCAGAAGAAGAATGTTATAAAGAAAAGTAAGGTATTAACAGTGAAGAAGAAGATAGTTTGTTGAAGGAAAAAAAAACAGTGACTAAGAGAGAAGAGGAGTGTTATCTGGGTCCTGAAATGATGCCAAGAGTTAAGGGAATGAGTAAACCTAAAGAAAAGTAAAAAAGATAGAAGGAATGAGAGGAGGGGAGTGTGCTTTTTGGGGTTTTAGCTTTTGTGGCTGCCTGCGTATTTGTAATGTGTTGAAAGACAAAGCTGGAGACTTTTAAGCGTAGAATTTAGATTAGGCAGAGGCTGCGAGTGGGAGATGAAGTTGTTGACGCTTTTGCTTTCTCCACAACGCCGTTTTTCACGCCCCAAGATTTTACCTGTTTGCTCCAACTAAAACACCATGATTATTTAAATTTAAATTATTTTAATCATGATTAGGTTACTAGTCCATCAATTTATAAGCGCCTATTCATATTCCTGTCTTTTTAAGTATTTCCGTTCCCCCTTTAAGATTATGATTTATTTAAAAGCTTAATTGAAACATGAATAACTGAAATTTTTTATGATTGTGATATTTTAAATATAAATTTCTATCAATGTAATTATCGTATGGACCGTCCGATGGTAAAAGAGTAAAAGAGATTTTATGAGCTATTGAATTCAAATCCTTTCAAGCATTAAAAGGGGTGACCACTAAGGATGAAAATCGAGCGAGCAGCTCAAGCTTGACTTAGTTTTGAGTCAAGCTCGAATTCTAATTTCAGGTACCGAGTTTGAATTTCAAGTATCGAATTCAAGCTCGATTCCTTAGACTCTGTCAAACTCGAATTCGGTACTATAGCAATCGAGTTTAAGTATCAGGTCCCAAGGGACTTAGACACCTCCGGTGATTAAAAAAAAAAAAATTACATCAATGTGATTAAGATGAATGAATAATTGAATTTGAATTTAAAATTATGAGTATTAAAATGTTGATGATAATGTAATAAATTTTATCCCAAAAAAAAAGAAAAAGGAAATAAGAAAGTTGTAATTCTAAATTTCTAATAATTAAATAGAGATTCCAAAGTTTAATGGTAAGGGGACTGAAAGTTTTAGAAAGGAATGGATAGTTATTATGATAATAATTGATGAGAGTAGTCACGGACATACAGTTGGGAGAGTTGAGGGTGGTTAAGCCACCCGACTTTAATTTTTTTGTCCATTGGTTAGAGTGGACCAACCCACTTTATTTTATTTATTTTATTTTTTTTTGCCATTTTTCAATCCCATGCATCATTAATCAATCAAGATTTAATGGACGNAAAAAGGAAATAAGAAAGTTGTAATTCTAAATTTCTAATAATTAAATAGAGATTCCAAAGTTTAATGGTAAGGCGATTGAAAGTTTTAGAAAGGAATGGATACTTATTATGATAATAATTGATGAGAGTGGTCACGGACATACAGTCGGGAGAGTTGAGGGTGGTTAAGCCACCCGACTTTAATTTTTTGTCCATTGGTTAGAGTGGACCAACCCACTTTATTTTTTTTGCCATTTTTCAATCTCATCCACCATTAATCAATAAAGATTTAATGGACGGTGATTCTTTCTGGTGAAGAAATTTTGACATAATAATTAAATTTATCAGATAATTGCCTGAGATGGCTAACTTCAAGATCATGGGTTTTTTGTGAAAATAGGCAGTAACTTTTTTTTTTTTTTATATCATAATTAATAATTTTATCTAAATATAAATTTTGAATTATAACTATGATGAGTTGACGACTTTTTTCCACTTAAATAATGGTTTAATGACATTTTCTAACATATAAACTTTTAAAATATTACTTTACTATCCAAATTTATATTCCAGCAGCAAACAAAGAGTAAACTTGTTCTAAATTGTTAAGACTTTTGAAGAGAAGAAGCCGATGAGTCTTCTGATGGTGAAATATTAGATTTTAATGGTTGTGATTGATTGAAATTTGACTTAAGAGGGGTAGTAGTGCAAACCATAATATCTCGATTGTTAGCAATTGGTACGATCAGAAGGAGTAAGGTTTGAGGGGTTTTGGTAAGTCATGATCAGAGAAGAGAATGCTGATAGTATGAAGTCATAACGATGTTGAAATCAGAAACAGAATTTATGTAGTAAAATAGTATTTTAAAAGTCTGTGGATGGATAAACATCATTAAGACATTATTTGGGTGGGCAGAGTTGTTTACTCAACTATCTTTAAACAATCAAACTTATTAAATTACATTTTTACCCTCAGTAATGATTTAAGTCTAAGAATAGTAAGTATTGATTGGAGTCTTTTGGTTACATGATTTAAAACTATTAACCTAACCTCATAATACTCCCATACTGAAATTAACTTTTTTACTGTTTCAAATTCAAACGGTGGAGTTACGATGGATTTAACACATTGAAGTTACGTTTGATGTGCGGGATCTAATTGGATTTGAACTTTCACAGATTGGATCTAAACACAGGTGTGACTCCTGAATGGAATATTTCATATTCAAATAATCTCCTGGAATAAAGTAAAAACCTACCCACCAGAATTTTTGTCCAAATGGTCTCAAACATGTATTTGTCTGGGCATTTTCTTTCAAAACTGCCTTAACTTGCGGAGAGCACCATGTTCTAAACATGCCTGCAGAATTTTTTTTTTTTTTTTTAAAAGTAATTTTGGCGTCCCTAAAGATTGCCTCTCGTGATTCTGATGACTGATGATGGCCTGCCATTCTTCATGTCCCCATGATATTATAAATTATTTAGTTTTTGACTCAAAGATGGGCCATGCCACGAGCCCTGTAATTCACGAAACATGTGTGTTGTCTTTGTGAATGTATTTACTATTTAGATCAAACTGACCATTTAAATTAGTATTTGTACTTGTGAATTTATTAAGATATATCGACCCATTAATTCAAGCAAATCTTTGCCATCATCTTATGGACTTCATGGCTTAATGCCTTCTCATTTCAGCCTTTCTGCGAAAACCTTGACTTTCGGGACTACCCATAGTATCGAGCCTGTTTGTTACACTTTTTTAAAAATGTTATTCTAAAAAAGTGTTTTAAGTTGAGTTGAATTCAATCAAATCGAATTGGATTTGAATATAAAAATATGTTTGGTAAAATATTTGAAAATTGTGTCAGAATTGAATAAAATGTTGAATAATTATTTGAGAAACTTTTTTAAAAAGACTTTTGAGACAAAATAGTTGTTTGGTACATTTTCTGAAAATATTTTGGGGTGCGTTTGGTTTATTATTTTAGATAAGATTTTGGAGATAGTATTGGATAGTTGAATAGGGTGATTATTACGAGGTCAAGTTTAAAAATTTATAAAAAAACCCCTTAAGTTTGCTTATTTAACTAAACACCCTAATATATAAAAAATTTGTAAAATGACAAAAACACCCTTAACCCACCCATAGTGCCAGATTTCAGCCACCACAGCCGGAATCTGGTCAGAATCTGGTGTTACGACGCAGATTAAGTGGATCTGGCCGGACGTGTGTCGATCTGGTCGTCAACGGCCGCAAAAGGCTAGATCTGGCTGTCAACCACAGCCAAAGATATGGCCGTTGTTGTCGGTCAACGACGGCCATTTCTTTGTGATGGCTAGATCGGCGAATTACTAGCCATTTCTGGTCATTTTAGGCCGTTGTGACAGATTTCGGCTACCACTGACGGTAGTTGCTGGAATTTGGCAACTATGGCTGGGTGAGGGTGTTTTTGTTAATTTTTAAATTTTTTTCTGGGGGTATTTAATGAAATTAATAAACTTGAGGGGTCTAAAAGTAATTAAAAAAATATAATAATATTTCCTAAATAATTAAACAAACAAATATTTTGGGAATAAGATTGGGAATATGGATAGAAATATTAAACCAAACAATTATTTTTTAACCTCCTACATTTGTTAATTTAGCTAAACATACCTACAATAAAAGTTCAAAAATTAACTAAAGCACCTCAACCACCTAAGAGAACGGCAGCCGATAGTAGTTGAAACAGCACACAATTGGCTGGATATGGCCAGTCATGCACTGATATGGCCATTTCTTGTTAGATCCATCGCAGATCTAGCAAAAAACAGTCAGATCTATAGCCAGAATTTGACTTGACAACTAGATCTCTAGCCGTTGTTAACGATTAGATCTGATCGGTCGTGCATCGTTCTAGCCACGTCAATCGAAGGTGGCAGATGGTGGTGGTCTTGGATGGATTAATTTTCAGATTAGAAGGAGAGAAAAATGAGAAGGAGAGAAAGAAAAATGTTTTTAGTTGAATAGAACTGGATAATCTGAAAACAAATCCTACCCTCTTTTCATTTTAGACAAAAAAGTCTTATCTGAGTTTGATTAATTTTCAAATTGGATTGACTCAATAAGTAAACAAACACATATTTTTTTTTTTTTTTTTTTTAATTCAAATAAGATAACAGAATAGTATAACAAATATGGACATCATTTTTCATAATTCTTCGTTTGTTCGTAACTCTATATCAATGATTTATAATAAAAAAAAAATGTTGAAATTAAGTGGTATAAATACAATCGAAAGCAAAAGTCATTTTTGATAGAACATCAGAAACTGCTTCATTTGTTATTGCTTTTAAAATCTTACCCCACCGCCATTTGCCCAAGGGACACGCTATGCCAAGAAGAGGCGACCCCTGCCCCACTGTATTCCTTATCACCATCCGCTTGCCACTCACTCACTCACTAGTCACATTCCAACTTTATCCCTGCGCCAACAAAATATCATTTACTGTAGCAAACAATCAAGACCATTTCGATCATCCTTATGTCTGACACTGACTGTTTATTCAATACAAGAATTAACGTGACATATTTATCCCAGCTAAATTTTTTTTTCTTGCTAATTTGACTATGTTAACATTGTCTGTACGTACGGAGAAGGTATGTTTTGATTAGATTATGATTATGCCAAACTTCCAGATGCCGCGCAGGAAAATGTGGATAGATTGGAAGTAGGGACATCTCAAGTCAAATCGATACCGAAGAGGATGTCGACAAGACAGAACTGTACATGCCGAGTTTGGTTCTTTTTGGGCCAAATTGTACGAGGACCCATCTGGGTTTGGTTCTGTCAGGTTTGTATTGTATGTATCCATTGGAGTGGAGTTGAGTTGAGTCTGGGCCCGAAGCCTCTAACCGATTTGATGTAGTGATTGATTTACTGCATCTCAGTACTTGCTTCAAGAGAACAATGGAGTTAAGTTTCCTTAATCATAGAATGTGCATAATTAAGCAGTCATATCTTCAGTTATAATTAACCGCATTGCGAAGTTAAGGATATTGATTGAGCTGACCTACTTGTATGATTTTGGCAACAAAAATGATATAGCTCCATTCATGTTTAAAACCAAAGAAATGATGAGAAATTATGATAGAATGGGAGTCTGCCGAACCACCAGCATCATTTTAGGAGGGCATTATGTGAAGATGGAAATGAAATCTTTGTCATTTTGGGATGGAGTTGTTGGTTTTAGTATATACTCAAGTAACCATATTGTATTTAGCCTTCAATACATTAGGCAGATAAAAACTTTCAGTGTAAAGAATGTTAGAATGAAGACTCAAAAGTGATCATTTTGGCAAGTGATTAATTGATTTGATCAACATTGCTGTATTATGCTACAGTGCTTAATCAGTTTATATAGTGAGGCAAAATGCTGCAGCACATATCTCAATCTAAATAATATTGGAAGTCTTCGAATATTCGTGTCCGGAGTTAATTTTTTCTAACCTCAGCCTTACTTATTAGCAATGAAGCAGATCTTGAAGAATTTAAACGTTCCGGCTACTCCTTTGTCGAGTTAGATATGTTGGTTTTAGGTTAGGAGAAAACAAACTAAAATGCAGAACAGGTCACTTATTGTAAACCCCATAAGTATATTACAGTCTGAAAAACAATGCTGAGATGGCTTGCATTTGAACAATCTTACAAGCCAGGACATCTAAATGAAACATAGTTATACCAAATGGAAATTCCAATAAACAAGCTAAAGAAACAACTCTTTCCCCTTTTATCTTTCCAGTTTCGCCAGCTGCATACGTTTAATTTCCATTAAAACATATGTCCAATGCAGACTCAGAGAATGAATGTCCCTGTGAGGAAAAAAAAATGAAATAGCAAGAGTGACACAACCATCAAACTTCAAAGAGACTAAAAATGTTGTTCACTCATTTAGCGCATTGCAGCGAACTGGTTCCTCTTCCACTGGAGAGGTTCGTATATCTTCCTCTTCTCTGCTTCCTCATATTTAGTCCATGGGAGCTTGTGCTTAGCCATCTTTTTCTTCTTTGCTGCTATTCCCAGGTAATCTCCGGAACTCTGTCCGACAAACATTAGAAATATGGTTACTTATAATGCAAGGAAATGAACAACACTGTAACTGATTTTTCATTTACACCACTGAATTAACTTTTCTTTGATGCCTTAATCTATTAAATACTAGGGTAAAGACTTCTTGTTTTATTTAGGTAGAATTTTCATACCTTGAGGCAGAGCCCTTCTTCCACATCGCAAATAGGATAATCACTGGGGCAGCAGTACTCAGTTCCAGTACAGCACACAGCATTTTCATATGAACAACAGCCATAGATCAGGCAGTAATCAAAGAATTCATATAGGCAACAACATGTCTCATCACTTGGGCAATATGAGAAGTCCCCACATTCACTTGGTGAAGGCGAGGGAGGTGGTGGGGATGGTGGAGGTGGTGGTGGCGGTGGCGGTGATGGTGGTGGCGGTGGTGAAGGAGGTGGCGGTGGTGAAGAGGGAGCTGGTGCAGATGATTCTTTGGTCGGATAAGAGGCCATTGCATTGACCGCACATTCACCATATTCTAAGTCTGTGTTCCTTTTAAGGTAGAAATATCCGTCCATTCCCCAACTTGTTCCCCAAGAATTCTTTACAATCCAATAATCTTCATCATCTTCAGAACCATAACCAACAATCAAAACTGCATGATCAATCTCATCTGGATCGTCTGAGCAGTCACCAGCATAGATACCCTGATCATATCACATAATTTTCAGTCGAGTGGACGTTATTTAGAAATTGTTCAAGGGTAAATAGCTAATAACCTAAATACCATGAGGCAAAAACTTACACTTGTATATAGTTGAAAATCAATAGCAGAGCCATCCATACCAACACTAATTGGTTGCTGAACGGTAGCACACAATAGAGCACTATCTGATTCTGCTACATCTGTGTAACCATCAATAGATACCGCTTTGGTTTCCTCCTGATAATATCAAAACAGCATAAATCAGACAGGGAATTTTTACAGATGAAGGGAATTTAACAGTATTTGGAACCAAACCTTGGTGGTATTGCAAGTACCATCCACACCAGTGTAAGGATAATCAGCTTCTGTATCGATCCCACCATTGCTTATAACCCATTCAAATGCATAATCCATATAGCCTCCTTCACATCCATCGTTGGTGGTATCACAGTCCACAAGTTCTTGTTCTGAAAGGCTAATGAGGTCACTGGTGACTATGGCATTTATTCCTTCAATGGCTCCAGTTGAAGAAAATGCCCAACAACTTCCTGGGAACAAAATTGCATACAGACAGTCAAGAAATTATCAAAGTGATGTTGAAATATGTTGAATCTTATGATTCTATCAAATAAGAGTCGAGGATGAATAAATTCACCCAAAGAGCTGGAATCTCAAGCTTGGTAAAATTTCAATAATGAATTAGAAAGGTTCCATAGGTAAATTTGATTCACTGTCATAACTTCACTTATATCACTACTGATTCTCTATTTCTGCCATGTTGAGGATACAATGGTGGAATATTTTAAAACTGGGATGTTGTGGTTAATTGATTTGAACATTTGATCATAGGGAATGCAAAAAAAAAAAAAAAAGAAAAAAAAAAACGGAAAATCATATCTTTTCAATAATGACCCTTGTCTGCTACAGTAAAAATTCTTTCTTTATTCACCTCTCCATTGAAACATAGGCTATGTAATTAGTGTTGGAGTTGTCGACTACTTCAACAATAACGGGCTACGTAGACGCATTCAAGGGTAAAATCGAGCATATTACCATTTCTCTTTACTAATGTGTGATTTGTGTGTGATTACTGTTTTGATTTTGTATTACTCCATATTGTTTTAATTAACAATCAGTTAAAACTTGTAAGATATTAGTTCTGTTATTCATATGGAAACATAAGTATGCAACTTGATCTTTTCCAATAAATCCGGAACCAGTAAGCTGCATCATCTGTTTTACCTACTCATCATGGCACCATAACAATAGTTTCATCTAATATAACACCAGAGAAGTTTGGGTTTTCCGGAACCTATTTTCTCAAACCTCAATTAGGTTGAAAGCTTATTCTTTGGGTTATTGTTAGTAAATTGTATATAGAAAGCTGAACATCTAAGTTCTAACTATACCATACCTAACAGTCAACTGAAAGACTTTTTGTATCTTTACCATTTCATACACTGTATTGCAGGAAAAAGAAATCTGACAGTAAATAAAGAATAGAATAATCTGAAAGTCAATGAATGATGGAGCAATGCTGCCAATGTGTTGTCCACACTCCACTCCTAATTTTGAACCTAACAGCCAATGAGATGTGGAGCTTGGACGCCCTTTCATATGCCTGATCAGACACATAGTATTTACTGAACTGGGAGCCTTTATGGACTGAAATATGTCACACCAAACTCAACAAACCACACTATGTAGAGGATTAAATACTTCAATCCACAACAGAAACCTCAGATTAAAATGGGATAAGGCTTGACTTGTAAATTTTAGTTCTTTTGACTTAGAATGAACAAGGAATAATATCATGGATTAAATTGTAAGTTAAAATGGGATAAAAACGTACCACAGTCGCCTTGGTTCTTAACAGGAGTCACAACTCCCCTCTTCCTCCAATCCAAGCTTGATGGTGCATCACATGATTCCACCTTCTTATTCATACGACTCTTCACATTGCCAAACGCTTTTCCTACAGGCTTTTTAATCTTCCTCAAATATTTTTCTCTGAACTCCTCGTTGCTCAAATCCGCAAACTTGTTCAACCCCACAGCATGTCCCTTACCTGATTTTTTCTTTGCATTCTTTTCAATAACATACTTCAAGTTATTCTTAAAATTCTTGAATCTTTTCTCTGCCTCTTCTGCGTGCTTGTACACTTTCCGATGCTTCGCTTTCCATCGTTGAAACAACTCGATGACTCTTTCTTCCGAAACAAGCTCATCAAAATCGCGTCCAACAATGGAGTACTCACTAGGGAGATTGGAACTGGAACTAGAAGAGAGGCAACATAGTGTAGCAAAGATAAAGAAAAGAAGAGCACATTGAAGTTTTTGGGAACCCATTTTTTCAACTGGGTTACCGATAATGTTGATCTATTATCTACATTGTGAATTGTATATAAGGAAGAGACTATCAGCTTTCAAGGCCTACCAGTCAGCTGAAGATTGAAGAACACCAATACTTCCTGCTTCCGCCAATTGATATTTAATTTTGCTGTCCAAAAATTTGTGTCCCAAAGAGACCAAAATAACAGTTGGAAGTGACAGAATAATTGGCTGGATGCAGGGCAAATTGGTAGTTGCAATTACCAACTCTGAATATTAAGAGTATGATAAAGACTTATTGGGGTGGCAGATTAATAGTATTATTTCAGTATTTCTTGTTAGCAACAAATTAATTTGGTGTTTGGTCTGTGTCCACCATTCAGACCGTTTGACTTAAGGGTAGATATTCACATATCTAACAGTCAAACAGCCAACAAAAAATAATAAATGTCGTATAGAGACAAGGTACAATTTCATAATTTTTCCATAGGATGAGAGGTTGGTTTGAATTAGATAAGAATAACAGGGCATATTACTACAATAAAGATGTGCGATCTGCAAACCATGTGGTGAACAATTCTACACAACACCTCCAACCAAATAAAAATCTACACCACAATGGTGTAGCTGGTCATCACTCTCATCTTTTTAAAGCTTCTGAAACACGTTGCAAAAGAATTCAATTAATGGTGCTGACAATTATGTATGTTATAATAACATATCGAATATATATATTATCAGTAATGCTACATCCACAACTTTCTATAAAAATTCTTACGTGGTAACTCGCAATGAGTCAACTACAATTTATCAGGTGGGACTCAGGTGTGACCCATTACGAACTGACTAACTACAAATTGTCATGTCGGGATTGTGAAAGAAAGTTTATGAGAAAGGGTTATGGATGTAGCATTTTCTATCTATTATGTATAAATACTTTGAAAGTAATTTGTACTTTATCACTGTTAAACATACACAGTGATTCACGAATTCATCCACTCAAATTAGTTGTGTTTCTTTTATTTATTTAATCTATTGGATTCAATGTTTTAATATCCATTATCCAACCTGGGGATTGACCGGCCAAGGGGTCGCATGATGTCAACAAACCTTAAAAATTAATAATTCCAAAAATTATAAACCCTGATAATTAATAAATTTCTAAACTAAATCCAATCAAATCTGAAATCCAAAAAACACTATAACCAATACAATTAATCCAAAATCCAAATTCAAACTCCAAAGATTAAGTCATAAACAAAATAAATTCAAAATCCAAATTCAAACAACAATATAAGTATAACGTAAATAAAATAAATTCAAATCCATTTCAATTTCAATGTTGATTTCCATTATTAGAGCCGAGGCAATATTTGCTGCAACCAATGATCTTGACTTCATCCTGAATTGATCTTCCACACCATCACTTGAGTCATCATCATCAACATCATCATCACCTATAAAAATTTCAGCAAAAAAATGAAAATCATAGTTAAAACTTTTGATTGTAAACTAATTTAATTTAAAATAGCTACTAAGTTGCTCAAAAATTTGAAAACAACCTTTCGAAGCTTCTGTTGAATCATAATAAGAAGGGTGATCACCAACATTGACAGGAATAGATCATTTTCCATAAGGTATTTCTTCCAATTCATCATAATTAAGTTCACCATCATCCCCTTAATCATCAACTATCCAAAATTCAGTTTTATCAATGCTTTCATAATCAGTAAGATCAAAATTCTTTTTCTTTTAACACTTCCTAAAAGAGAGATAAATATGAAAAGCATGACAAATAAAAATATCAAGGAAAATAAGAGATAATAAGAAAAAGATTAATGTAATTTGTAAACTGTAAAGTTGTCAATGTTTTATACCTATTTTTCTCCACCTTTCATCTAATTGAAAATTAAACATAAGAAATAATCATTTTTCATAACTCAGAAATCAGACTAAAAACTCAGAAATTTAATAACTATTACATACCATGTCCTATGGTTAATTTTTCAGGTTTGAATAGTAAGTTCATGAGAAACACTTCGCTCGTGGTCTCGAAATATTCTACTTTCCTCGACTAACTTTGACTTGCACACTTTGAGCGCACTTGCTTTACTCTCAATAACATCAATAAGACCACTCATGACCTCTAGTTTGATGTTAAAAGATGCACGGTCATATTGAAAAGTTAGATTCAAATAATAAGTGGCAACATGATTATCATGACGCAACATCCTACCCAACGCAGCTTAATAAATCTTATATAAGGCTTGTACAATCTCATCTTATTCTTAAACAGCTTCTTGATCCCCAATCTTGCTCTGTACATTTCATCATACACATATCCTATTGCAGACATTTCGTTTGAATCTACAATCTGCAACAAATGCATCAATGGAGCCACAACTTTGGAAATTGTACACATATCATCTTAAAATTGATTATCTAGAATTATAAGAATAACATCATTGCCTTTTTAACTTTTTGCATATTGAGAATCCACAAAAAAAAATTTCCATCACCATAACTTGCAAGTCATGTTTGTGTTCATGAAGGCTTCTCAATGCAATGAAAGTTGTAGCAAAACAAGTTGCGCCTGGGCGTACAATTTCTTTACAACCCTCTCTTTTCCTCAACCAAGCTATCAAAATGTATGATTATATAGAAATTGTGTCACTTTAGATGCACGTTTCGCAATATGTGATCCAGGTCATCTATATCTTTTAACATCAAATATATGCAATGTGCTGCACAAGGCAACCAAGTAATACTCTCATATTTTTCACACAATATTCTTCCAATTGCTTTATAATTTGATCCATTGTCAATGACAATATGGATAATATTACTTGGTCCAATCCATAAAGCAATTTCCTCAAACAATTTGAACAATGTCCCCACATCCTTTGCAACATCTGAAGCATCCACTGATTTCACAATGCAAATCAACATGGACAATATTACTTGGTCCACTCCATAAAACAATTTCCTCAATCAATTTGAACAATGTCCCGACATCCTTTACAACATCTGAAGCATTCATTAATTTCACAAAGCAAAGTCCTTTAAGACAATACACAAGAAAATTAATAAGTGACCTCTGTGAATTATCAGTCCAGCCATCAGCCATTAATGTACATCTAACGTCTTACCAAGTGTTCCTGTAATTGTCAGCAAGTAACTGCACTTCCTTCTTAGCATCTCTCAATAAATTTACACTCATAGCATGATAAGTTAAAGTTGGGTGTTTATACCCACAATCCATTACAGCTATAGCATCCACCAAACACTGAAGATAAATTGAATTTATAGCATTAATAGGGATGCAAGCATCATAAAAGAACCTTGCAATATTCATGTTTGCTCTCCATGTAACTTCTTTTCTAGCCAAAACACTCTTAATTGAGGGTTGAGATCCAAGAGTAGTCCTTAGAGCAAAATAATTAATCACTAATCCCAATAGGTCTATTTCTCTTAGTGCTTATACATTTTTTTTTTTTTTTTTTTTTTTTTTTTTTTTTTTTTTTTTTTTTTTTTACTACTAGTAACACCTTCATTCGTAGTCATTTCTCATGGAGGGACCTCTTCACAATTATCACCTAACATATCGCCCTCAAATCCATGTACACTAGCACCATAAGGATTTGCATACTTATGAAAATCAATTTTTTCTTTATTCTTTACCCCAATTTCTTTTAGTGCATCTTACATTTGGAATCTAACATCATAAGGAACTTTTGAGCATTTTCCAACTTCCCACTTTATTCCTGCTAGATCTAGTTCATTCAATAAATACCTCCACATCTAGTTACCTTGCCACAATAAAGACATGTTAATATCTTCATTCCATTTTAACTTAGGCCCCCAACAATATGTTCCCATGCTACATCATTCCTTGCTAAAAAAGGTTGTGTGTGATGACTCTCTTTCTAGCTAGTATACTCGTAAAATAATAGTAAAACTCACTAAATATATATAAGAAAATATACATATAAAAGAGCATAAAACTATAGGCTCATATTTAATTTTCTTTATATACAAATCTTTACATAATATAATAAAGTCTCAAAATAGTAACTCGACAGTTTTGCCCAACCCTTCCGCTGCATGATGTTCCAAGTGACCACATCTCACATGTTACCTGCAAAAACATTAAAAACAACGGGGTGAGCACTAATTGCTCAGTAAGTAAACCCGCTATGCTACCCTTCTCTCTCCATTGCTTAAATTCTGAATTTCTTTCCTTACTTCACACTTCCCCATTCTTCTCTATTCTTTCTTTACTCTTACTCTGCTTTTCTCTCTATTCTTTCTCTGTTTTTCCTTTTGTTCTTTCTCTGTTCTTTCTCTATTCTTATTTCCCACTACTTAGGTAATAGGCATGGTATTATGCATATATATGATGCAAATGCACAAATGCATAAAATATGCATTTTCTTTCTTTTATGTTCTTATTCTGTTTTTCTTTCTTTTCTGTGCTTCTTTCTTTTCTTTCTTATTCTTTTGCCGATCAGACTCGGTTGAGGCATGGATTTGAAACCTTGGCCATGTGAGTGTATTCTTCTTTCTTGGGCACAACCCTCATCCACATGCACTTTTACGGATCGTATCAATTCTTCTTTCTTATTCTCAGGCCGCTCACTAAAGGTGGTGTACATGTGGGGAAAATTCTTCTTGTCACTCACGGCTTCCCCATCGCAACAACCTTTTCTTCTTTTTATCTTTTTACACTTCTTTAAATAAAAATTTAGATTTGAACTTCTTTAATATTCTCATTTCTTTCTATTTACTCTTTAACATTCTTTAGTGCTTTTTCATGCTCTTATATGTATGCATGTAGATGGTTTTATGCTTATAATTCTTTCTAAATTCACATGTTTAAATGCAATTATGCAATATGGAATGCAAACATTTCATTCTCTACCATCTACAAACTCATCTCAATATAACACATAATCATACTCATACATGCACTTCTCTTTGACATTTCATCAAACAACTTATGTGCACAAAACAACTCTAATTTGGCTACACTTCTATCTCTTTTCTAAGCCACCAAAAATTTGGTATAACATCCTCCATATTTAACGCCAAAGTCCAAAATGTACACTCCAAA